TGGCCTTAGACTAAGAATAGCTAAGAGCATTGTTATTATTTGGACTTAGATTTAAGAATAATTTAAGGGCATTGTCAGAATAATATCTGAATTGAATAAAATGTGTTGATATGAACTGAACATTATCAAAACTGTGAATGTCTGAAATGAACATTGTGTGCATGATATCAAATGATTTGATTATGAATTTAGATTCAGTTTATATGGATGTTCGACGTATTAGATATGCTTACTCAGCTTTACCGCTGAGCGTGTAGTGTGTTTTATTTGCTACACGCAGGTAAACCGAAAGAACAATGTGATCCTGGCGGTAGATGGGGCGAGATTGTCGGGATGGATGTGACAAGTTTGAAATGATCTATAATATGTCAATATTAAATTCGCTTCCGCAATAATGTTGAATACTCCGTACTGTATATGTTATGAAAAATATTATTGGGATTAATAATTAATAAAGTGTGTTTGAAAAGTGTTAAATTTTTACGATTACCAAGTTAAATACTTTAGTCCGAAAGGGGCTGCAGACCTGGACGGATTAGGGTGTTACACAATGTGTAAATTTTGAGTACATAATTTTTTTTCTCAATAGCTAATGCAATGTATATCCATAGTTTCCACACAAAGAGTTTTTTTAAAAATAGTTTAACGAATCACATTTTTTAAGAAATAAATTAATTGTTGATAAATATTTTAAAATTCAAATGAATCCTATATTTATAAACGACTAGACTTTTCTATGTATGATAAACGAATCAAATAGGAATCTCTGAAAAGTTTTCGAACCAGAATTGAATGTGAATTTGAATTCCATCCAATAGTGAATGTGTCAAAGACAATTCAGCAAGCAGATGGTACAATTGGAAATCCGAATCTAGGTCTGGTTTTTCCTAAGAGGACAAAACTTTCTTGACTATTTCTGTAACATCCTTTGGTTGTTTTCTCAGCATGTAAGCTAGCCCTTCTTTGAATAATACTCTATTACCCGTATTAAAAAAAATTCAAATTTATACGAATATGACATACATATAGTGACTCGGCTATGTATTTCCTGGAAAAACAAAATCTTCATAACTTGGTTTTGTGCAGAAGAAGTGGTTCGAAAAAGATTAGTTAAGGGTATGAGTTTTGTGTTTACAATGTGAATTCTGAAATGAGACATAACTATGGTTAAGACAATATCTTTAATTGATTTGTTGTCTTATTACAAAGCAAGGGTCACATTTAAATGACCATTAAGCCTTTTGTGATGCATTAAATATTGAATGAATGTAGATATGATGTATGTCCATATTCATTCAACATTTGATGTATTACGGTCTCGTTTGGCAGCAACGTTAGAGATTCATATTCATTCGTTTGGCATCTAATAAACATAGCTTTTAGTTTAAGCGCTTAAACGCTAAGGGTAATCTTAAACGTTGTTCCCAAGTAAATAGGAAATAACTTCATAATCACAGATGTTGAATTCAAGCCATCTTCTTTTTATATATGATAAAAAGATATACACAACACACATATACACATATTTTTATACGTTTGTATATATTTTTATGTGTCTACACATTTATTTTGTATATAAAAATGTATTATATTTTGAAATATCAAATGAGAAACAAAATATAAACATAACAAATTAGGAAAAACTATATATAACGAATCAGATATTCGGATAAACGATTATTTAAACAAATGCATATCCAGATCGGATTTTAAATGATTCGGATATACAATTACCAAATCTGTATACGTTTAGTAATCGGATACAGATAATATTCTTTTAAAACGAATGTGAAATCTGAATAAGCAATGCTAGGGATACATGAAGGTGTACCCCAAATATACACATCTCCTTATCCACCATCCATTTTTATTTACTTATTTATTTTTTGAATTTCTTGCAAATTTATGTGGACAAAGAGAGGATGTGGGACATATGGATGGGGTACACCAAGTGTACCCTAGCATTTTTCATTGAAAAACATAAGGGATATGCTAGGGGTACACCTTGGTGTACCCCAAATGTACACCACCCTCCCTCTCTACCATTCATTTTATTTTATTTTTAGTTTTTACTTTTTTTTGAATTTTTTTGCTTTTTTTGTGTGATGATGGAGGGAGTGGGGATGTTTGGGGTTTGGTGTACCCTGCCATTTTCCAAAACATAAGGAAACAAAATTCGCCACTGTCCCGTCACCCGTGGGTTCGCAGTTCGACTTACACCGCCACCAGCGTGGCTGCGATTTGCCCGACCTCCGCGCCACCGCCACACGCTGCCTCCCGCCACCAGTTCGCTGTCCACAGGGCGCAGGAAGTCTGATTGTCTGAGCGCTGTTCTGGGATAGTCTGCCCTAGCGCTGCCGCACCACCGCAGCCACCACCACTTCTCCAGGTTTCCAATCTAAAAGGTACGCAATAACAAATATTTTTGAATTTTAGGATTTAATTTGTGATTTGTTTTGCACTTTATTTGAGTATTTTCCTAATTTGTAATGAATTTTATCAATAGTTAGTTTCATTCACTTTATAATTGATTTAATTCATACTGTCTTCGTCCCTATTTTGATTACAAAATGGGAATTACGATGTAAAATTCCACAATTTTTGAAATTATTTTATTTACAAATTGGTACGGAGTGTATCAATATGAAATAAAAATTACATATTAAAAAACTAGGTCCAAAGTTTTAGAAAACAAAAAGTTACAAGAATATTTTATTTTACCAAATAATCAATGAAAACACACAAATAAAGAAAAGTTATCGAGTTGAGAGAGAAAATAAAATTGTAATGAAAATAGGGACGGGGGATCATATTATTGTGTTAAATCGTAAATGTAAAATGTGTAATTAATATTTATTTCTTAAATTAGGAATTACAATGCAAAGTTACTTCATAAAAACAAGAACCAAAATTTAAAGAACCCGATTCCCGTGAAAGTGGTACCGGAATTTGAAGAACTTGAGTGTTCAATATTTTATTTGCTATTTTTCTCATTGTTCTTTTTGAAATTTCATACTCATTAATAGATTCATGACTTCTTGTTCTTGATATTTGAATTGCTTGATTATTTAGTATTTAAAAGGATCAAGAGCTTAGTTTTGAAGTTTATGTTGATGACTTGATGGTTGATTAAATTTCATAATTATTTCTTGAGAATTTTATAATATACTTGGTATAAAAAGAACATGAGTTTGACTCTATGTTGATGGTTGATAGTTTTTTTTAATAATGGTTGATAGTTGATTTTATTCATTTCTCATGTGCAATTCCCTCTAGCTAGTATTTTTTTCTTTGAATATTTCTTCATTTATAAATATCTAATGGATTGAAAACTGTTCATACATTTGAGAAACTTGAATCGAGTGATAGCGGTTCATATTTGAATTTAATTGAGCCCCCGTTTTCAAGTCCGCTATTATAACTATTTGCTCATATAAAATCTATTTTGAATAAAAAAATACATAGGCAAATTTTGAGTTTTTGTTTACAACAGCTAATGTGGTGTATTTTTCATTTCTCCTTTTTTTGGAGGATCTATTACATTTAATATTTGTGTTAAATTTTTCTTGTTATTATATATTAAGAATCTGTATTTTTTCCCAGATTTTAATTGTTTTCGTTCTGGACCTTCTGGTGAAAAGCCATGGTTTTATTCACTTTTGAAAAAAATAAACAAAAAAATGCATAGAATAACACTGTCTTTCTTTTCAGATAATTAACTTTTCATACTCTGTATTTAACTTGTTCAAGATATATACTATATATTTTGGGTAATTATAATATGTAGAATGAAAATGTAGTTCTGATTCTTGAAACATATATAATCTTGTTGATGCAAAAACTATTGCCTCGGAGTACTTCGAGACATAATTATGGCAGTGTACTTTTTATGTCATGCAGGTGTGGTTTTTGTGCTTTGTGTGTAGTTGCTAGAGTCAGTTTGTGTGCTTCTTTTGTTTATGCTCGTACTCTCTCCATTCCATATTAACGGTCCATCATGAATTTCTTGGTACATTGAAAAAATGAATGAATGTAGACATAAAGTGTGTCTATATTCATTCATTTTTTAATAGATCAAGAAATTCATAATGGACAGTTAATATAGAATGGATGGAACATTTCGTCCATGCTACGATGGTTTCTTTGTTGTTACTTCTGTATTTGAGCCCCGTCTGTGGTACTCACACCCTTCCGAGACTCTCATTTTCGTGAAGGTTTATTGGGTCCTTTTTTTTTGAAACATAAGTGTTTTTTATTTGTAAAAAAAGCAATCTTGGAGTAAGATGATGCTTGGTTGGCTGCAGGATTCTCTTGTTAAGGAATCCAACTACACAGCTTGTGGAATGTGGGGAACCAATACTGAGGTATCAGTTTTATGGGTGCACCAGAAACCCTAGGAAAGCAGCTCATCAAACTGAATTGTCTTCTTGCTGATTTCACTAGGTCTCACCATTACCACTCTGCTCTCAACCTTTTTCACCATATCCATTCCTCCCACACCCTGAGACCGGACCATTACACCCTCTCTACCGCTCTCACTGCCTGCGCAAACGTCCAAGACGCCGTCTTGGGCGCCCAAATCCACGCGTTCTGCTTTCGGGCTGGGCTGAGACGCTTCCCCCATGTTGCGAATGCTCTGCTTTCCTTGTACGCCAAGTCCCACGATTTGCGTTGTGTCAAAAGGCTCTTCGGTGAGATTCATAACCCAGATGTTTATTCGTGGACTACTTTGCTGTCTGCCTGCACGAAGCTGGGCGAAGTTGGGTATGCACTTCAGGTGTTTGATCAAATGCCACAGAGAGATGTTGCTGTGTGGAATGCCATCATCACGGGCTGTGCAGAGAGTGGGTACGATGAGGTTGCTTTGAAATTGTTCCAGAAGATGCATTCTTCGGGCGTTGCACACGATAATTACACTTTTGCCAGTGTGTTGAGCCTTTGCTCTTTGGATTTATGGAGGCTTGGCAGGCAAGTGCATTCAGCAGTGGTCAAAACAGGGTTTTTGAGTAGAACTTCTGTCACCAATGCTTTGCTAACAATGTATTATAACTGTAAATCTGTTTCGGACGCGTTCCGGGTTTTTGAAGATGCAGATGATGGAGTGATTGATCAAATAACTTACAATGCAATGATTGCCGGGCTCGTCAGCATGGAAAGAAACCAAGAGGCTCTGACAATGTTCAAGCGTATGCAAAATGTTCGTCTGATGCCAACTGGGTTGACTTTTGTCAGTCTAATGAGTTCCTGTTCTGATGCAACAGTTGCAGCCCAAACCCATTCTCTGGCAGTGAAACACGGTTTTGATGATTCCACTTCGGTGAGCAATGCTGCCATAGCCATGTATTCCAACTGTGGTGACTTGGAAACGACATGGTTGGTTTTCCAGAGAATAAAAGAGAGGGATGTTGTGTCGTGGAATTCAATGATAACAAGCTATACCCAAGAGAATATGTGTGGAGAAGCAATCTCGGCATACATTGAAATGCAGAGGGAACAGGTTTCTGCAGATGAGTTCACTCTAGGAAGCTTGCTGTCGATTCCACAGTCCGTATCCGGCGCCGAGATGATTTTGTCCATCGCAATCAAGAACGGATTAATCTTGAAAACCGAAGTTTCTAACTCAGCGATTTCTTCCTTTTCCAAGTTTGGAGAAATAGAGCAGGCCTACATGCTTTTCTGTGACAGCAGGTTCACAAGAAACATGGTCACATGGAATGCAATGATCTCCGGTTTTCAATCAAACGGATTCCCCACACAGGGTTTAAACCTCTTCACTGAGCTTCTGGCAACATGGCTAACCCCTAATGCTTCCACCCTCAGCACAGTCTTGAGTTCATGTGCGAATATCCATTCTCTTCCGCACGGGAAAGAGATCCACGCATACATTCTGAAATTCGGGTTATTTTTGGAGCCATCTTTAGGGAACACGCTGATTGCCCTCTACTCAAAGTGTGGGGTTTTACATTGGGCTGTGAGGGTTTTCCAGACCATGCCCGTAAGAGATTCGGTCACGTGGAATTCGATGATATCTGCATATGCACACCATGGGAAAGGAAGGGAAGCCATTGATGTTTTTGAAATGATGTTAGATTGCAGTGGAGGAGGAGTTAGACCAGACACTGCCACTTTCACTGGAGTTCTATCAGCTTGCAGCCATGCAGGTCTGGTAAAAGACGGGATTCAGATTTTTAACTCCATGGTAAATACTCATGGGGTAAAACCCAGAGTGGAACACTTCTCTTGCATCGTTGATATTCTTAGCCGAGCCGGGTATCTGGACGAGGCAGAAAAGATGGTAAAAGAGAAGACGAAGAAGAATGTTGAGGTCGAGGACTCCACTGTTTGGTGGGGTTTGTTGAGTTCTTGTGCAGCTCATGGGAATGCAAGACTGGGAAGGATTGTTGCTGGGATTCTGCTCGAAAGTGAAAGAGACGATCCCGCGGTTTACGTGTTGCTGTCGAATATTTATGCCGATGCCGGGAAATGGGAAGAGTCTGCTAGTGTGAGGGAATTGATGCAGAGATTTAGGGTTATGAAGCAGCCAGGCAGTAGTAGTCTGGTTAGATGATGATCACTCCCATAATTTTTGAATGCCCTGGTTTAGCCATTCCTTTGATGAATTGTTGCATATATGTTTTTTTTAATACTTTATACGACCTCCGTCCCTGAGTATTTATCCAGTTTTGACTTTTTTTATCCAATTATTTTCACCATTTGGCTTTTAATTAAATAAAATATATATTGTACATTAATTCAATAAAAAATATTTTTGAAAATACTTTGCATAATAAATTTAATAAAATTATTATTTAATATGAGGTTAAAGTTTATCAATTTTGGCTGAAAAAGTCAAAAGTAGAAAAATAATCAAGGCCGGAAGGTGTAGGAAGTAAGAATCAAACGAAGTGTGATGCATTATTTTTAATTAGTCCATTATTTAGTTTGATCTTGAACCGTGAATATAGGAATCATAATCTATTATCCTAACACACGCACTAATTTTTTTTAGAGGTAATACTCATTTTGGTCACTCGCGAGTCAATTTGGTCTCTATATATTGCATTCAATCAAATTCGTCTATGTAATTAAAATTTACGGAGTATGAGTTAAGTTTGTCACGCTAACAAAATTTATCTTAACGGTGTAATTGAAATGTTGAGTTTGTTAACATGCTTCTACAAATCTATTGTCAATTAATAGAATTTTACTAGATTTACTATTTTTTTTGTCAAAATATAATATCTTTAATATCTACCTTACAAAATAAAGTAAAATTGTACTCCCTTCATTACAGAATTAAAATATATATTGATTTTTTTCTTCTGAAATTGACACTCTTTGACCAAATATTAAATATAATGTTAAATAAATGAATTTATAAAAAAATTGAGATATCCATACTATATCTTAAAATATGTTTAATTATGTTCAATTTACATTATGCTGAGTAACTAAATATTTTTTTGTACTATTAAAAATTTATAGTCAAACAGTGTCTTAATTTGACAAAAAAGAAGTCAAAATAGACTAATTCTATAACGATCATTTTTACCAACGAACTGGTGTAATCAATTGATGTATAAATAACTGGTGTCAAGAAGAAAACAAAAGGCTTTAATGGATGACGCCGAACTCCAACTCTGCTCCCTTTAACACAGAAACCACCCTATCAAAGAATTGTGGCTCTCTCTCCTTTATTTCTTCAACCGTCTTCAACTCGTGTTCTTCCGCCTAAGTCACACAAACACAAAATGTAAAAACAAAAATCACTTTTTTTTAATAATGAACATTTTGCTTGCAACATTTCTCTTTCATCTGAACAAATTCTAACCGTACATTTTTCATTTTTCAGCACTTTTTATGAACTCTATGAAAGTCAAAACGTGCAAAGTTTTTTTTTTCTTTTTTTTCTTTTGAAATGAATAGAGAACTCTTCCCACAATTTTGTTTGCCCATTTTGCATTGAGGGATAAATGTACTCATACCTCATTGAATCTCAAAAGGATCAAGTTTGACACAGATGCTGGCTTTGTTCTATCCCATCTGAAAAATAAATAAATAAATAAGTAAATAAATACGAGTACATTCAATCTGTTTTCACAAAAAATTAAAAATACTATCAAGACTTTCTGGGTATTATTAAGTATTTAAATTATGTTTTTATTATAAATTGTGTATACTAAGCATTATTATGTTTTTTAAATTTTCATCACTTTTAATTTTACTTCACATTTTCCAAAGACCAAAGAACTGCCTCGCTGGGAATTGCCAACCTTCAGAGCAATTATGGGACGGAGGGAGTAATAAATTTGGTTTCCAAAATTAAAAAGTACGATAAGTCTTTTGTGCAAAATGTAATTTAGGTAATCAAACAATGCCTTATAAGTCAAAGTATCATTCGTTAACCATCATCGATACCTGACAAGCATCAACTCGTTGATTGAGCGCCACATTGCACGCCCAACATCTCTAGCCGTGAGGTCCCTGGCACTTCTCCCATGCCATAACTCTTTAGCTACATACCTAACTTCTTCAACATCTACCTTAACAGTCAATAGACATTGGATTGTGAGCACAAGACCAAACATTCTAAATACCATTTATTAGGTATTAGGGTCCATGCTACAGTCACACCATTGATGACACCAAAGTTGACACCACCCGCGTTTCACACACAATGATTCCTCACCGACAATGCGACTGTTTGTGTGTGATTGTCTCTAGTGGTGTCATCCTTGAGGCTAAAGTAACATTTTCCATACCATTAAACATCTACTTAGCATACTAGATTACTAGGCGTGTTTTGTTTGGTTTGTTTTATTTGACTTTTTGTGGGACAAATACGCTAACCGTTGGCCAACAATATATTTTAACAAAAAAGAGTTATAATGCGAAAATAATACAAAAGCGTTCTTCGTTGAGAGAAAGTAATCTCATAAAAGTTGACAATTTATACTTCTTACTCAAAGTTCAATAACTTTGATGACGAAAAGCCAAATGTTTCAAAGATCAAGGAGAATAAAAAATGGAGGGCGGGTTACCTCAACTTGCATGGATGTCCCATATATCAACTCTTCGTGCTCGATGAGACGCTGGTGTAGAGTATGGTAATGGTCCATGTCAAAGTTGACGACAGGCTCCATCTGAACATGCACCCCTGCAAGTTGTGTCACAACGTACGAAGCCATGACTTGCCCAAAAATTGCAGGTATTTGTCCTAGAACTGGAATTATGCGAACCCTAAAACCCGGTACTATCTGATATATCCAAACATAAAGGCAAGTGTTTGATTAAACAACAACAACAACAAACCCTGTAGAATCTCAAAAAGTAGAGTCAGGAGAAGGTGTGTGTATGCCGACTTTACCCCTTCTATGGAGTAGAATGATAAGGCTTATAAACCGAAAAAAACGTGCTCCCAAATGGCCAATTGGCATTGCTATGTTAATAACAAGTAAAAATAAAAAATCTTACCTGGTAATCTGAAGGGTTTTCTTCCTCTCCAGTTGTTCCTCGAAATGGGAGCAGCTTGGCTTTCGGCTTTTCTAAAGAAAAAACTACTGGAATGCCACTATCAATGCCGTGATCTTTCCTCAAGCGGTGTCTTACCTGTGTAATCAACAAAGAATGAATGTCTCAGACATCCTTCATTGATTTTCATGTTCAATTAGAACATAGTTGGTTGCCAGTCATTTCGATGTCAGGTTTGAAGAACAAGAGTAGTCAATAAGGCTCCGTTTGAGAACACTTTCTTCTTTTTTTTTTTTTTTAAATAAATAAATTCGAGGAATGGTAATCAAACGGAGCCAAAGGAGTTGATCCACTGAATTGGTTTATATTTAGCTTTCTAAAAATTCCCATAGGTAGGAGTGTAGGACTCAATAGGAGTAGAATATATAATGGATAATATATGAGCCACAAACAAATATTACAGCTCGAGACAATGGATCATTAGCTGACTCTCTTAAGTCAACCACACGTATTCTAGTGGGATCCAGACGCGCCCCAGCTCCTGTTGCGGAAATTACTTTTAAACCCCTGCGTACACATGCAGCAAGAAGAGACACCTGAAGAACATATGGAATAAAAGGAAAATTTAAAAAAATTGGAAATTTACAAGTCTTGACTATAGAGAATTTGATATATTTGGACTTTTAAAAAAACTACCTTAGTGTCAATGTTATCAATACAGTCCAAGACAAAGTCAGGATTGCCAGAAAGGATTTCTTCTTCAGAAGATGAATCATATAACAGAACTTTAGCATCGACGCGACACTCTGGAAATATTGATTGAAAATGCTTCTCAAGGCAAAAGGCTTTTGGGGTACCGACATCCTCTCTTGTTGCAACAGCATGTCTATTCAGTGATGAAACTGTCACCTTAAGAATGCAATCACTAAATGAGGATAAAAAGCTAGTTGTGCAGATATAGAGTGTGCTTCGTAGACTTAATTAAGAACTTATAACTTATTTAAGCTGGAAATAAGCTAGCAGCCCTGATTAGAAACACCAAACCCAGTAAAAATCCCACAAGGGTAGGGTGTGGGAAGGGTGTGTTTATGCAGACCTTACCCTTAAATGGAAGTAGAGAGGTTGTTTCCAAGGGACCCTCGACTCAAACACAAAAGCTAAGACAAAGTAAAAATAATAGTAGCAAAAACAAAGTAAGAGCACAAATACGCACACATACGGACACTAGCAACTAGACCATGAGCACAGAAAAACACAGAAATCACACAAGCTACAATCAGACAACAGCAAATGTAGGAAGACATAATATAATAAACCAAGACTATTCATAAGAAATGCATTGAAGTCCTAAAACGACACTTAGTTTGAGACAAAAAAGAAATGTCTAAAACGACAATTAATTTGGAAGTAATGCCTAAAACGACAAGGAAATAGCATTGACTACTACATGTGAAAGGGCCCCTTTCTTTTTTGAGGGAGTTGGAGTAATGCAAACGAAAAGTAAAGTCATATATCAGTGTTAACCAACATGTTATAGGGTATTCTCGTCAGCGCTAAAAGGCAAAATCAGCATTACATTACCTGGTCAAAATCCACAAGCAGTAACCTGCCAACACCAGACCTCAAAAGCATAGCTGCAGCATGACTCCCAACTCCTCCTAGACCAATTACCACAACATATGATGCAGTAACTTTTTGTTGGGAATCAAGCCCAAAGAATTGAATATTCCTAATGAAAAATAGAAATAAAAAGTGGTTTGATGAATAAAAGCCGAGCGATAATGAATAATCCCATCCTTGTGCAAAAAACAAACCCCCACAAGAACTTTTAAGAATTGCACATAACAATTTCAAGAGAGAGTGACGAGAGACATGGGTTTATAAGGTGTTGCATTCGACTAGCCAATGGATGGGAATATAAGACCTTGAATTGGATTAGCTAATTGATTAGATTCAATCTTTTAGTATTTGATGAACTTTAATCAACCGGAATATATAAGAATTAAGATGGAGAATATATTGTAAAAATAAGAGGGATAAGCTATATGAACCCCTTTGTATATTAAGAGTTCATCCCTTCTCAAACTTTCCTATGAGAGACAAGTGGATCATGTATTACTGATTTGGGGAATGCTTCTATGTCCCCTAACACTAGTGCCTACATCGCCCCTTACTCTATTGAATCTGGACCTCACTTCCGGGTCGGGTTAGCCCAACCCATATCACACGGGTCGATATACTCACCTGATCGTTCGGTCTTTGGTGATCTGGGCCCAAATACAAATAACAATACTGGAACGGTCTGGGTATATTGGACCTAACCCGTTTATACTCTTGGGTCGGTCCCAATAATACCCATCAGTATTATTTGGAAAAATTCTTTATGGTGCAGTTAAGTGACCTTAATTGAATTACAAATTTATGAAGAACACATATATTCATTAAGAATTGTATATGATTCCTACTCAAACTATATTCCATTGATACCTGGTTAATTGTTCACAAACTACTTCATCACTTAGCAAGTCAGGCGGAGTCATTGCGGGCTTCTTTCCTAGGACAGGATTAGTACCTGAAGATATTTTGCAGATAGAAAGAAATTGTAGTTAACAGATACACATTTGTTTAAAATCAACTAATCAAGATTCCAAATAAAATGGGAAGAAGCACGAGATTTAAAACTAGATAGATTGCAATAAATACACGGATAGTGTTGGTTTAAAAGACCAAAACAATAAGTCAAAAGGACACGAAAGGATAAAATATGCAGCCCAACCATAAGAAACACTAAAAAGTAAAAACATGATTAAGATTTAAGGATTCTAAGTTGTTAAATAGTATGAGTAATCCTCAAAATAAATAGCATCATCCATTGCACTTGTGATCTAAAATTGCAAATTTTTCCTCATTTCCATCTCCTTCCATATCACGACCCTCATTATCTTCATCTATTCATCTTAATGCATAGAGTATATCCTCTGGACATAAAAGTGAATTGCATAAATAAATACAGAGCAAATGCATCTACTTTTACTAAATTCAAAACTTTCAGTGACTTTTCCATTACTTTATAAGCCATCTGCTAAGTTCCAGAGAAATGTAAAGTAATGTTTAAAAAAAATTACCATTTGCTGTAATTGCCTCTTTGGTATCCTCATGGGTAACAGCCCTGCAAGAATTCACATATAGAAAGAATAAATAAATAAATAAATAAATATTCAAGCTGAATTATTGAATAAAGCAATTTTGTTTTTAAGAATTTCAAGAAAATTAAATTGAATTTATTAAGAAAAAATGGAATTTACCTGGGGAAAAGCTTCAAGAGAGAAACAGTAGCAGCAGAGCCGAAAAAAGCTCCAGCTCCAATCAAAGCCAGCAACTTCAATTTCTCTTCCATTCAACTTTCCAGTTAAATTACCGCCCTGGTGAAAATCCAGAACGAAGATCGACAATTTTCGTTCTTATAATCTTTCACTAAGGAACCAGAAAACAGTCATTTAATAATGGAAGCCAAAATCAAGAAATTGCAGACTTACTGGCGGCGGACGGCGGCCGGTAGATTGCCGGAACTCGGGGGCGATTCAGAAGTCGTAACTTGGAATCGGGAGATAAGCCACCTGGGCTGTAGCATTTTACAGGCCCGAATTTAAGAACGGCTCTAATCCACATGCTTGACGCGAACGGCCCAATCAGGTATTGGTGGTAAACTAGTAATGTGCCTTTTGAAAACATTTTTTAAATTAAAAATATTTATCTATTTCATTCATTAAATTCAAAAATATTTTGATATATATTGAAAATATCCTTTGAGTTTGATATTGTGTGTATACAAAATAGTCTTCTAATTTCGGAGAATTGCGTAAACAAAATTTATCTAAATGCTGCTAAAAGATCAAGATTAATATCGAAATAGAATTAGATTAAAAGCTATTTTCTAAATGACAATCTTTATTTATGGTGTATTTATTGTTATTAAGAGTATTGCTCATTTCCTTATATAGTAATATTTCTTTAATCGGTAAACCTGAACATATTAAAATACTAGTCATGTTTGTGTGATACTAAAGTTTATATTAGAAATGTGCATCTTTCTCATATTTGTTATAGCATTGGAAATACATTATATCTTATCTTTTTTACAAAAAAATCACCTTATAAATTTTTTTCCTCTATTAAGATTTATAAAATGAGTATGTACCCAAAGAAAGTAAACAAGAATTTGCCTTAAAAATTCTATTTTTCTCTTAATACTATTTATAACAAGAGATTAGTGATAAGAAACACAAGAGATTTATTTTCTCATCTTAATAGTTAATACTCTCTTCGTCCCTAAAAATCGTTCTCCTTTCTTTTTTCATCTGTCCCAAAAAATACTTCTTATTTCTATTAAAAAATCATTTTTACCCCTTACCTTTTACATATCACATCAAGGGATTTTTTTGGAAATTTAATACCAAAATTCACTTTTCTTAAATACCTCAAAAAAATCAATAACTCTCATGTTTTTAGGATCGGGGAATACTATTCCTAACAAAAAGTAAATAATTAAATAAATAAATGGAGGAAATCACATACTCCATCCGTCCCACTTTAGATTACAATATTCCCTTTTAGTTGAAATTAAGGAAGAGTCAAATCAAATTTTTTTTCCCAAATTACCCCCCAAATAGTATGAATAGTGGCTGGCAGAAAAGAAAAGAGATGGTAAAAGAGTCAGATCACTATAAAGTTATTGGCTTTGTAATCCTTTTTGAGACAAAAATATGAGGAAATATTGTAATCTATTTCAAGACATGTGTGAAAATGTGGTTCACGACAAACGCACGCACAGGGAAAAAGCAAGCAAGAGTAGAAGACATAGGATCCTAGGTAGGACCCATGAATTTTAGTTGCTTCTCTAACGGTTTCTATCTCATTATTAACCCAACTTGTTCTCTTTTTTGTTGGGATTAAGCTATGTGTACCCCAACATTTATATTTCAATTTGTACTTTGTAGATTTGTACTAATATTTTGTGTTAGTGTAAAACTAATTTTTGTTAACGTACCAACATTTGTGTCCGTGTAAATTTTAGTTAACGCACTAAAACTTGTATCGGTGTAAACCATCAAAGTGTTTGTGCAAAACTGTGGTGTACAAGTGGGGTAAATTTTTTGGTGTACGTGTAGCATGGTCCTTTTTATCTTTTTCTTTGGCGTATAACCCCATTTCATATATGCGTTTTATATTCCATCCATCCTAAAATTAACTTTTCATTTGACTTTTCACGGTCTCCAATGCGACACTTTGAATATCAATATCTCAATTTTTATATAAATATATTTTATAAAAATTACATATTTCAAAATGAATCTATTGCTAATAAATTTATATGAAAATTCAATCTATTTTTTCCGTAATAAACGGTCAAATTTTAAAAAGTTTGACTACAAAAGTCAAACTGGGAAGTTACTTTTAGGACGAAAGGAGTATATTTTTACGAATTAATCTTTTTATTTGATTTTTCTTGGTCAATCATTGTTCTTTATTTAACCCTCTCTTTGTCCCAAAAAATTACGTGTGTAGCGAATAACTAGAAAGATGCACTTGTATGTGTTTCTTCTCACGTCGGAGAGCATGAAAAGAGATATAGAAGAAGAGAGCGGCCTACAAAAAGAAAAAAGAAACTTCTTGCCATTGTTCGAATTGCCAACACTCTCATAAAAAAATTAATCAAATGTACTTTCAAACTCGTTCGTCATGCAGCAAAGATTTGGCCCTCTACTTCTAGCAACCATCCTCAAAAAATTGCTTTCGCCGACTCCATTTCAGTACATGTGCCTCAAGTTGATTCTCGTTACCGATGATCAGCTTATAGGAGTAGGAAACAAATAATATTAATTGTTAATTACTTTCGCTATTTTATTATTTCTATAAATGTGATGGAGTATTTCACTATGATCGAGATTCTCTCTTGTATTCAATAAAATCACTCTAGCTGTTATACCACAATGGAATATTTATCATTCAATAAAATTAATTATTATTAAACTATATTACTCACTACTCCATATTATTTACTTTCTTTGTGTCAGTATATTTGTCTGATTTGACTTTTTTGACTCAAACTCGATGAATCTTTGATCTTTACTAAAATAAAATTTGTAATGCATATATGTATAAAAATGTTTTATTAGATAAATCATATTGAGAACTAATAAAATTTTATTTACTATATTACTATGTAATACAAATTAGGAGTAATTAAAATTTAAAATTTATCTAATTTACTCAAAAAAAAATTAAGATAAACAAATATACTGGAACGGAGATAATGCTCCGTAAAAGAGATCCAAAGAATTAGCACACCATTGATCATGTCATAATCCTTTTTTGTTTCCTTAAATATTTTAAGCCCACCACTTGTCTGTCTTTTTTTATGACTTGTTTTATGTCCCCCGACCCCCACATCCTCAAACCTTTGCTTTGCCATTATTAAACATCACCTCTCAACCCTACCCCCCACCCTTCTCTGTCCTTTTTTCCCAAACTTTTCAAGGTTTAAATAAAAACAAATTAATCCATCTGTCCTGAATTAATCGTTCCAATTTGACTCTACAAAATTTAGAAAAAATATTGAAAAATAAAAGGTTAATGATCGGAATTTGATTAGGCGAAAGAAAAAGACGGTAGACCACATATTCTTTTCTTTATTAGTAAAGTAAAGAAGTAAAAGAATTATATTGAGACAAACTAAAAAAGGAAAGTGAGCGATAAATTTAAAATGGAGGAGAAAGATATAATCTCAATTTGATCAATTCAGATCATCTTTGATTTTTAGAATTCTAAATTTGAGTCTTATATGTTTGACACTTACCTTTCCACTCCTTAGAGGCAAGATAATCAAATCAGGACAGATAATAGTAATGATAATAATCAAATCAGGACTGATTTTTAATGCATCATGTTTGATTTTTTTTTATTTTGGCAATTTTCATAAACCCTACCTATAATAAAAAATGACAAAACCAACACTTGCCAAATCGTTTGAATGGACAGTCACACACCCTTTAAGAATTTGTTTCAAATTATGGTTAAAATTAGGTTATTATATTTGTTGTCAAACAAATACTCCCTCCGTTCTCAAAAACACTTCCTCTTTCATTTTTTCCACTTCCAACAAAACACTTCCCTTTTCTATTAAAAAACCATTTTTACCCTTACTTTTTCATACCCTACCTATCACATCATACTTTTTCTCTAATAATCTATCCATCATATCTTACTTTTACTCATCACATCAGGGGTAAAATTGGAAATCAACTACTCTGTATAATTTAACACTTTCTTATTTTTGCCCCAGATCCAAATGGGAATTGTTTTTCCAAACGGAGGGAGTAAAAATGATGCAAAATAATCATATATGAAAATGTTGTCTGTTCAAGTGAAAGAATATAATATACCAAAGATGTACTACAAATAATCATATTTTTTTATTTAATGTCCTTAGATTATTATTATTATGTCTATTTGAAAATGACACTTAATTAGCTCTTTTTTTTTAAAAGAATGTTCATTCACATGATTATCTTGGGACATCTTCTTACGTGCTACCAAAGTGTCCCTCAATAATAATAATAATAATAATAACAACAACAACAACAACAACAATTGGGCTTTCATTCCATTTCGAAAAATAGATAAGTGATTTATATTACTCCATCCGTTCCCCTTTTGTTTTTTTTATAATTCTCTAAAACACTTCCACTTTCTATTAAAAAACCACTTTTATCCCTACTTTTTCATACCTTATCTATCACTTCATATTTTTTCACTAATAACTAAACTATCACATCTTACTTTTATCATCACATCAGGGGAAAAATTGGAAAGTCAATCAAAATTATACTTTTCTTGTTTTTGCCTAAAGTCAAAATGGGAAGGGTTTAAAGGAACGGAGGAAGTATTATTTATCTCTCATTTACAATGGTTGTAAGCTTGGAAAATATTTTAATTATAGTGTAATATTTTAGTTATACAAGATTATTTTTTTCTTAAAATCTATGAAAAAGTAAAAGAAAAAACTGGAGAGAAATAAAAAAGGAGTATAAAGTGGGGGCATTTGAGACACACACATGTAACCATGTTGTCCATGAAGATGAACATTTACTAGTCTACCCCCACAACCAAACCACTCCATTACAGAGTTGGATGTCTCCTAGCTAGCTAGTCCCAAGCATCTATTATCTATCTGGTTGGTTGATTTTCAAGATTTGTTTTCTTTTGGATTTCTTTAATATTTTTTAAATTCTTGATTATTTTTTTTTTTAAAAAAATCTTGATTTTCATATGTTTTTCTATGCATACATATATATACACACCAATAAATATGCACTTAATTTCTCTCATGAAAAAAACAATAAATTCTGTTCATTTTTTTCCCCTTCTCCTCAATTATTCTTCACTGCAACCTATTTCTTAATTTATTCATCAGGTGGAGAAAGCTTTGTCTTTGATCTCACAACAACAACGAAAATCAGATCTTTATAGTGGGAATAAGAGGTACAAATATTTTCCAAAGTCTCCAATTTTATTAATTCTTCCGCGCCCCGTAAATTCCGCAATACATTTTATATCTTTCCCAAAACAAGGTTACGTTTTCCACTTTCGACAAAACCCATTTTTTTGGTCAAATAGTGACACTCAGGTGGACGTTCTTGTTTTCAAGGGTCATGAAATCGGCTTCCATTATTGACGAGTTCGACCTCGACCTGTCGCTGGGCATGAACAACGGCTGTGGCGGCAGCTGCTCGGATGAATCCGCCGGAAACAGTAATAATAATAGCTACAATGAGTTGCCGCCGGCGACGACGAGGAGTAGTAGCCCAAGAGTTTTCACATGCAATTTCTGCAAGAGGGGATTTTATAGCTCCCAGGCGCTGGGGGGACATCAGAACGCCCACAAAAGGGAGCGGTCGCTGGCCAAGAGAGCCATGCGAATGGCCGCCATCTTCTCCGGCGACCACAAACATCATCATCCGGCCACCTTCCCATCTCCAGGCTTGTTACATACCTACTCATCTCCCACCACCAGGTAACACAATAGAGCCCGGTTCCATGGCCACTGGAATCCAGTGGCCATGGAACCGGGCTCAACACAATATTACTTGCAAAAAAATTAAAAAAAAAAACTACTAACTCAAACATACACACTTTTACTAATAATCCGTCTATCAGATCTTACTTTTACTAATCATATTAAGGGCATTTTTGGAAAGTTGACACAGATATATCTCTCCCTTAATTCTCCTAAAAATCGAAATGGGAAGAACTTTAAGAGAGAGAGAGGAAGTATTATTTCTCAATTTCGATGATCCGCAGACCCTACGGTGCTCGTTCATAAATTTTGGCTACAAAATCAAATAAATTTGGGAGGTGCATTTGAAGGTGGAAAGGGGGGGAGGGGGGTTCGGGTCGAGGCGGAGTAGGGTCTACTGAGTCATCCAATGACATTGAGAAAAAATATCATGAGAAGAGCTTGTATAGAATAATTTCTCAAAATAATCCTTTAATTTGTAAGTGCTTTTCAAAATTAAATTAGTCTTCAATAAGTTGTAATTACATACATTGTACTTTACAATTAAGATTTATTACCTAAGTAGTCCTATGTAAAAAAATTCACTTAAATGGCGATTAATTGGTACATGCATTTTGGTATTTCCATTATCGAAACTTAAGTTAAATTCTCAAAATTGTCATTTCTGTACAATTTCATATAAAACTAAAAAATAACCCACGAATTATAAACAATCTGTCAAAATATTAAAAAAACTGATCATTTTGGAAAAACACTTCATTAGAAATGATAATTGTGAGAACTTGCACTAAGTTTAGATGAAGAAAAATATTAAAATACCATCCACTTAATCAACATTTAAGCAAAATTTTCTACGGAGGACTATCTAGAGAGAAGTCTAATTTCTAAAATACCACGTAGGTAATTAGAAGATATTGAATACTGATTCGAGAAATGATCGCTTTTGAAATTTACACTTTTTCTATGCTCGTATTTTCTAAATATGAATTGGTAAGTGAAATTAAAGTACTATTATACTTCAACAGGTCTCTAGAAATCAAAGCCCATTCTTTTAGTAATGGGTTTGACCCAACAATGAGCCCACTCGATTACAGAGCCCACTCAGAGTTTGAACCCGGTTTACATACCCAACCAGTATGTGTGGGTGATGATGGAATGAAGAAGCAGCTTCTTGGGAAGGACATGGCTGCACCAGACCTAACCCTAAGGCTCTGACAACTTTGCCACTAATGGCATGTTCTTTTGACATCAATTTTGGGTGTCATAATATGACTCCGGCATCTTACAGTGCACCCGGAACGAAGTAGGTGATACCACTCTGTTAACTTTCACACTCTCCAGTCTCTAAAAAAATACCGAAATGCTATAGCAATACTTTAGCATTAATTTAGTGTTTCGAAAAGGCCAGAGGGAGGGGGGGCAAGGATTACGAAGGTAGAACCGGTTTCGGGGTCCAACGGGACATTGTAAAACATTTAAATAGTCATAATATGACATAAAAATGGATATGAGAAAGAACCTAGCTCAATATATGGCATATCATCACCTTTGGTATTTAATTTGTGTTTTTGAAGATGTTTTTTAGTGGAGAGGATAATGTGTTAGATATTTGGAATCTTATTAGTTCAATGCTTGTTTTTGATAGGGGAAAATTTGGTGGATGTATTCATTGTAAATTTATTATCATACCTTACTTTGTGCATGTGATTAAATACATATAATTTGTGGTAGATATTTCCTCCTTTCCTTAAATACGAGTAATTATTTTACATTATCAATCAGTGTTCTTGTTTAGAAGATAAGAAAAAAATCTTTTTTATTCTATATAAACATCATTGGTCTTTCAAGTTATTGCATCATGCACAGTTAATCAAGTCATGTTAGTGTTGTATAGTTGGTCATTCTCTTAATTTTGTTGTTAGCCCATATATTTTTTTCTATTTTCCATTATAAATACATTTGCGAACCTCTATTATTCATACTCCGTATAAAATGAATTTTATTCAGAAATTCCTGCATATCCGAATTGAGGGAATAAAAGTAGCCTCGAAGTTTTGAGTATGAAAAGAAATTGTGAGAATTCTTGCAAAGGCTAGAGAAATGTTTACGATGGGGAAGAATTGTGAAGAAATCGTCTAAACCTCCAAAAACAACGCCACGTAACCATCGGAAGGGGACTCCGAAAGAGAGAATGTTAACAATGGATAAGCATAAATCGTCAAACAAACAAACAATGGAAAACATCGGAAGGGGACTCCGAAAGAGAGAATTTTAACCACAATGTTCTTAATAGTCTTCGAGTATTACTTCAACCATAGGCTTCTTGTCCTACAAGATAATAGTGATATACTCCCTCCGTCCCCCTGTATTTGTCTACATTTGACTTTTGGAACTGTTCATCTAAGCACTTTGACTCATCAAATTCTCTCAATGTGTAAGCCTAAATATAGTCATGTGTGATCTTGTTTGATTTGTCTTAACATATACTCCCTCCGTCCCGAAGTATTCATCCAGTTTTGACTTTAGGAACTGTTCATCTAAGCACTTTGACTCATCAAATTCTCTCAATGTGTAAGCCTAAATATAGTCATGTGTGATCTTGTTTGATTTTTCTTAACATATAGATTATTAATATATAATTTTTTAATATACAAATTACAAGATAAAATGGATTAAAGAAGTGTATTGGATGGTGTGTAAAAATGAAAGTGGACGAATACAGGGAGGCGGAGGGAGTATATGATAATATAAAAAAAGAGTATTAGTTATTCTCATAGAGTATATACTATATAAACTGATGAAAAACTTACATAGATCAAAATGGACTTCTTGATTCCATGTAAAATCCTAAGCTAAAATGCATGCAGTAAAATTAGCTTCTTTTACTCCACATATTGCTAACTATGAACCCTGATTTAAGAGCCACCTCAATTAGAAACAAAAAGAATAAACTACAAGTAAAATAAGCAATTAAGAGAAATAAGTTTAGAATAGATCTTTTGCCACCTTTTGTCTTTGAAGTCTTCTGTCTTTGACACTTTTTGCCTTTTTCAGGCTTGTTCCATAGGATCTTTTGTTTACCTATTTTTTTTCCTCCGAAATCTTTTCCTTTCCATTTCGTTTAACTCTTCTTCATTTTCGCTGCTTTCTCCCCCGGTTCCCTCCTTGTTTCTTCCCCTTTCTTGCTTTGTAACTTGTTTTTTTGCTCCTGCGACATCTAATTTTCCAACGTCAACATTTTCAGCATCAATGGAGTTCCGTTCTTCCCCAAGCGCTTTTGCCTTTTCAGATTATCTCTGTGCCAATGTCATCAACCTCTTTTGAGAATGATTTGTTAGCGTCAATTTTGGTTTGTTAACTCACGCTCGGCTTGTTCCGCGTCATCTTGAGCAAAACGGGCCTTTTTCCACGCTAGCTTCTAAGTCTAGCAACTTTAGGCGTGGACCTTGGGTCCACGAAATCATCACTCTTGTAACATAGGGAATCCATGAAAGACTTGATGTTCATAACATCTTCACTGGAGGGCTGGTGCTGGGGTGGTCGGAAAACCTTCCATAACCCAGTAGGATGTCCACGCTTGTCCCTAACATCCCCTGCAACTTTCCCATAAATGCTTTCGCACTCTGGATAAGGCTTCACATAGAGATTGTAAAACTTCAATCTACTAGGCTTAATCAAGGCTTTCAGCCCCACCTCATCCCCAAGCCCGCCCTTTGATTTCAAATGCTCAATAACCTGAAATCTTGGAACAATCTGTTTTTCGAAATTCACTCCCAAGTATTCTGGAACGTCAACTACATTCTCAACATCAAATTTCATTGTCTGCACCAAAAATTGGATTTTCCTCTCAATTTCCTCAATATCATATAGAAATATTCTTGGCTCTTTCCATAGCACGCGGTATGCATCTCTACGTATTAAACCATGTTTGTGGAGGCAATCAACTCTCAGCTTGGCTTGATATCCAGCCCTAAATGCTCCGTCTTGAAAAATCTCATCCTTAATGGACACCCTACATTTTAAATTCCTTAGCACGTTCAAGCAATGAGAAAGTTCACCAACTTCCAGCCCAAGAATTCGTGGGTCTCTCAAAACCTCCCTCCTTATCATATCCAAGCCGAAACCGAGGCTTGAAAATTCATTCAACAAGTGTTTAAGCCTGTTGTCCACCCCAAATGCCAATACACCTGGGTAGGACCCTAGAATATGACTGAGCTCGGTGTTTGCTATTCCAAGGCCAGTCATCAAGAATTCAATTTTCCTCTCAATTCTATCTGGACTAGTCACTACAACTGTAGGGAATTGTTCTAAAACCTTAACCACAGTACTGTCACTCAACTTCGAAGCCAGCAAACACTTCAGACAAGCAGAAACATCATTTGGTTGTAGTTCAAACTTCAAACAAACTTCCAACACATTCTTAATAGCCAACGAAGAAAGTTTTACACCCTCAATTCCAGATATTCCCGTTTCCCATTTCTTCATAAATTCATACTCTAACACCCTAGGGCAGCTACCAATCACAGAAGTAAGAAATTCTTGGGAGCGTCCCAGGGAAAACAGAATTCTAAGAGATTTTTCAATTTTGGAGGGGTCAGAATTCAGTAAAGATCGATTTTTTGCAAGGAAATCATGCAGTTCAGACAGAGGAAATCCATACCTTTTGAGTATATTAGAAACTGATGTAAGATTCCTTTGGGGGAAGTCTAGAGGATATTGAATTTGGGATTTCACTTTTGGACCTCTTGCCGTTGCGGAGAAGTGCCGAAGAAGATTAATGTTGAAGGAATTGGGTCTTGAAGAAAGGAGAGATCTATAAACCCTAATTGCCATGGGTCTTGATGAACTAGCAGAACACTGCCTCCCCCACCACATGATCCTGCCAAGTAGTAAAAATATCAAATTGGTTAGTCACTTTCTTCATTGGGAGTGATGGACCCTAGCCCTTCTAGCTCCACAAGTTTACTGCAGGTAGGAAACAAAGCAATTGATGAAAGCTTGGCCTACCCATCTACGTAATTAAGAAAGGAAGAAACTACCCCCATATATAACTAGAGGTTACTCATCAATCTGATACACATAAGGGAGTGATTCTCCTAGTCCTACTTTTCTTAATGTAGAAAGAGTGGCTTCTCGAGAGGGGGGGGGGGGGGAGTGTGTCGAGCCTATCCTTCACCATCACATATCCTACCCCTATAGAATTATATCACGTCCAAGCATAGTCACCTTTACCTTTTGGACGAACTAATTCATGTCCTAGAAGAAACGAACGGCTAACCAAAGGTTGTTAACCTCGGAAAAACAAAGAAACACCAGCTCTGGGCAGTTTGGAATCCTTCATGGACAATTTGGAAAGCTAGAGTAAAGTGTAATCATGACAATACACAGGTGAGTGGGTTATAAATTCATAATATTACATTTTAGCCTGTTATCATAAGTAGTTGGATTAATCTCACTACTTATATAAAAAAAGGAGTTATTATATCATAAACTATTGTGGATAAACTGGATTCTATACTAAGCATAAGGCAGAGCGGAACTTTTATTACAACCATGGCCAAATGATACCTCTGTTTAACAATAGATTTCATAAAACTAAATGTTCAAGAGGAATTGTCATCAAGATCTAAGGGTTTGCTTTGAGTACTTGAAAATCATCTTAAATGATTTTCCAAAACTACACCCCCAAGTTGTGAAAACCCATACCCTGAAATGCTCAATTCTGGAACCAGTAAACTAGCTTTACAATGAGACTAATGTTTTAAGCTCATTTTCAAAAAAAAAAAAAGTTTTATAAAGAAATTTGTTTTTACACTTAAAACAATTGCAAAGAGAGAGTTAAAGATTTTTATTTTCCAAGAGATACCATTGAATGCTTTAAATTCCAAGAAAGGCATTGCCTTTGCGAAAAACTGACGAATGGACTTCGTTCTTTTTGGAATAAAGATCAAAACTCATGCCCTGTATAAACTCAATTTGGTTTATCTACATACAATTCAGAGAAGGGATAACGACCGCCTTTTCTTTCCAAAAACCCAAATGAATGTTTTAATTCTATCCAGGGTTTCGTTATTCTTCCAAAATTGAAGAAACTACTTGTTTAGTACTGGGTCGTGAATTTCCAAATCTCAAACTAAATCTTTTCTACGAGACCCAAATTTCGAACTAATCGGGAATTAAGCTCCCTGCATTTTCTTGGAATTAAACGAAGCAAGAAAAACCTAGAAAGTTTGATTCGAAGCTGTTATTAGAATGAAGTAGAATTGACAATTGAGAAAGGATTACAGTCGTACCTTGATTTCGAAGTAAGATTGCCGGCTGAGAAAGAAACGCTGCGACGTTTGAGACTGAGACTGGCTCTCTTCTCCGATGACAACCAACTAGAAGAAAAGGAGGGGATGATGCTTTCTCTGTACTTCATGAATATATCTTCCAAATACAGAGTACTATTTACCAATAAAATTAAGCAGTAAATAAATTGAACTAAAAATAAAGTGAATCAAGTATAATACGGAGTAACATGTACTAAAAAGATTTATAAGGGACGGAAAAGGTAGTAAAAAAGATTGGCAAACTAAGATGATTTCATAATTGAGGGCTTTTTTCACATAAGGTACCCCAACTTTGAAGATTGTAACAAAAAGGTACATCATCTTACCCCTTCGTTGGAATTAATAACAACAACAATAATAATAATGAAATAATATTACTATTATTATTATTATTATCGGTGCCAGATGCATAATAATAGGTTCTGGTGCTAGACGGTATTATTGGAGGTGGGTAAGACGAGTCATGTGTGATTGCTTCCTAGGCCAAAAGTAATAGAAGATGCTTCTGTCTGTTATTCGTATTTCGAAAATAACAATATGAACACGAAAAACACGACAACAGATATAATGTGGTTCACCAATGTTATGTTGGCTACATCCACAAGAAGAGGGGGGGACAGTTCTATTACAAAGAGGCAAGAACAGAATACAGCTTAGGGTTTGTGATTCAAGGCATTACAACACTGTCTACCTCCCAAGTGTTAGGGTTTAGCGTCACCATTAAGACTAACACGATCTAACATCAAAATATTTGGAAATATGGTTAGCTTTAACTATAAAGACCCTAGTGTTTTTTGAAGGAAATTATAAAATGATTAATCCAATGGGATTGGTTTTCTTCAATTTAGAGTGAGAATGGGATAGTAGAATTTCAAGCTAGACACCTCGTCACGTGTTTCAAGATGACTTTATCAGTTTGGTTGAGCAAAAAAACGACACGCTTTTGGATTGTTTTATCAATGGAGAAGATAAAATATCTAGAAACTTATTACAATAAGTACATTAGATATACTCTACATCGCGACGAGCTCCTCCTCCTTATTTTTCTTTTCAAATTCTTCTTCTTTTTTGATTTGTAAGTTTAGTTTTTTTTAGTTTGTAATTAAATTTTTTATTTTCTATTTTTGTTGTATTAATATAAAAATTAAATAAAATATTATAACACTAATATTTAAAAAAGAAAAAAAAAAATTAACACACCTCATCCATGAATGAGGATGAAATGAGGATAAAACAAGAAGCGTTGACTTAAAAAGCAACGAAGCTATGGGTACACCAAAAAGTGTATCCCAATTTATACCCCAGAGATATGTATCGACATTTTAATTGTTCACACTGGTATAAAATATCAGTGCATATCTTTGAGGTACAAAATCAGGTATAAATTTTTATTTACAAATAGCTTAATCTATAAAAAGTGAAGGAGAGAGTAAAATTTTAGTTTCAAATCACTTCATTCTCCTCTAGTCAACTCACACTTCCAAGTGTTTTTTGTAAAAACGAAAGAGAAAGAAAATAACAAAAGGGGTTGAGGGCATAACCTCCATATTTTTGTAATGCTTAATCTCTATCATATATATCAACCTCACATCAAATTTCATTAATTTTCAAATTTTTCAAACTACAAATAGTGATATGCATATGCCAATTTATCAAATTACTACATCCATTTTTAATATAATTAACTTAACTTAATAATAAAAGATCGACAAATATCAACCGAAAATAAAAATAAAAAATAATAATACTATAAAAACATAAACTAGGGTAACAAGTTTTTAAATTTTTAATCGGCATTTGGTTGAAAAAAATCTATTTCATTTTTTTGTGAGTAATTATTTTTTGGGGGATAGGGTTAAAAATGGATGTGATCGAAAAACATATGACTAGTTTATACAGATAGGTTGTTGTGAATATTAATTCATTCTTTTAAATTTTAAAAATAATTAATACTTCACACTAAAATTAAAGAATGTATAGATAAAAAGAATGAAGAGATCGAGATGCGTTGTGATTGGTAAGGGTATAGACTTGCTTGAGAATTTATTTTTGTATATCTCTTTTAATTCCTTCTTCCGAAGACAAATTACCTCAATACAAAATAATTTATCTCTTTTATATATATATATATATATATATATATATATATATAATATTATTTTCTACAATTTACTCCATCTGTCCCTGAATTTTTTTTTCATTCGTCCCAAAAAACTTAAAACTTTTCTCGTTTTTTATTAAAAAAATCACGTTTACTCATACTAATTTTTAATCTACTTATCACATCATATTTATTCATTATTAACTTACCCATCAAATTTTATTTTTATCCTTCACATCCAAGAATATTTTTTTGAATACTCAACACCAAAATAAATTTTATTTAAATCTCTTAAGATCTACTGTGTTTTCGGGAACGGGAAGAGTATTATATAATGTGTTCCTAGCTATAGCTAAATTGTGTCTCTTTCTTTGATCTCCAAAGCTCACCAACTCTATATATTGTGTCATTCCCTTATCGATACGCCATGCCCACTAAATATATTCCTCGTGGAATGTTGGTAAGGTATCATGTCTTATAATGATTGTTAAATTTTTGTTATTTAAAAAAAACTACTCGTAATTTAATTAATAATCTCTACTTATTTATTTATTTTAAAGAAAAATCTCTACTCATTTCTTAGTACTACAAATAAATTATTCTCCATTACAGTTGTAATTCAAATCTCTCGAGTCTCGATAGAAATAAGACAATTTTCTAATCAATCTTTGTCCATCTCGTCAGTATGTCACTTGTCTGATTTGTATATATACCCTTTTCGATATACTCGTGCCGTCTCTTTTGATCATGAATTAAATATAATTTAAAATAATTAAATATTATAATCATATTATTTTTCAAAATTATATTTTAAAATGAATCTGATTTTTTTAAATTTACATTATAACTAAATACTCACTCTGTTTGCAAAAAGACATCTCATTCTGATTTGGGGCAAAAATAAGGAAGTGTTAAATTATATTACCTCCGTCCCACTGTCTTTGTCCACTTTTGACTTTTGGAACTGTTCATCTAAGCACTTTGACTAATCAAATTCTCTCAATGTGTAAGCCTAAATATAGTCATGTGCGATTTTGTTTGATTTGTCTTAACATATAGATTATTAATATATAATTTTTATAATTTTTTAATATACAAATTACAAGATAAAATGGATTAAAGAAGTGCATTGGATGATGTGCCAAAAGGTAGGTGAACAAGGACAGTGGGACGGAGGGAGTAGTTGATTTCCAATTTTGCCCCTGATGTGATGGGTAAAAAGTAAGATGTGATTGATAGATTATTAGAGAAAAAGTATGATGTGATAGGTAGGGAATGAAAAAGTAAGGGTAAAAGTGGTTTTTTAATAGAAAAGGGAAGTGTTTTGTCGGAAGTGGAAAAAATGAAAGAGAAAGTGTTTTTGAGAACGGAAGGAGTATATTTTTTTTATAACTCACGGTTAAAGAATGCCACAATTTGATCAAAAAAGCAAACTGTGACGATGTTTTAAGGACGGTGAGAGTATCTTTTTTAGTACCATGACTATATTTACAAAAATAATTCTAGTGCAAACTGAATTAATTAATAAATACGGAGTATATACTCATATGAATGAATGTGTCACATTATGAATCACATATATTAATATATATACTCGATCATTATATTGGATAATGAGAAACACGGCTCTTTAAGTCATAATCAACTTTATTAAATTAAAGCTATCTTTTAGAATCAAAATCAAAAGCTTCTTTAATTCGTCCTTCAATTATTAATTTGTATGAGCTAGTGTTCGGTCCATTCACAACGCATGATTCCTCATTTTTCTAGATTTCCAACTTGAGGATAAGTTGATTTTCGAGGCGGGAAGAGTGTTATGGGACTATTATTATTATTATTATTATGGTAAGAAATTATTTATAGTTAGTTAACTATTATTAGGGAAAAATATACTACTTAGTTAGGTGATTACTTAGTTTCCCACTCCCTTCGTTCCACAAAACCCTTCCCCTTTCGTTTTTTTGAATTCCCTAAAACACTTCTACTTTCTATTAAAAAACCACTTTTATCCTTACTTTTTCATACCCTATCTATCACATCATACTTTTTCTCTAATAATCAAACTATCACATCTTACTTTTACCTATCACATCAAGGACAAAATTGGAAAGTCAACCAAAATTACACTTTCCTTATTTTTGTCAAAAGTCAAAAGTAGAAGAGTTTAAACAAACGAAGGGAGTAATTTATTTAGTTACCTTTTATAATTAGGATTCTTAATTATTTAGTTACCAGCCTATGATATTTCTCCTCTTTTGGACTTACTGCCTGTGCCACTGCCTCTTTTAAACAGTATTATTCGTTTGATGGTTCAATTTGCTTTCTTTAGAATTTGATTGTGTTTAATTTACCAAAACACATTTAATTGTCTTTGGAATTTAAATATTTATAAAAATCAAAAATAAAATGTATTGAGTTGAAAAAAAGTAAAATTGAGTTATTAAAATATATCAAAAATGTAAAGTCAAAAATAATGATTTACCACTGCAGGGTACACAACTCCAATGTCATGTCACTGTGTGACTAGATTAACTTTAATTTGTTGAACAATGTCATGTCAGCGTGTGACATTTCAGTATATGACTTGTCATTGTTTTTATATATATATATATATATATATATATAGACACACACACACCCTATTTAAACATGTTAAATTATGAACTTCTTGATTTGAGTGGTACAAAGAATACTCTTCAAGTTTTATGAGAAAAGTATTGATTTATTTTATGTTATTAAGTTAAAAATAGTATGAATAAATATTATATTATAAACGAATCAATTATACTAAAAACATGGTAAATTATTTTGATGTGACAATTTTTAAAAAATTGTTTCGACATTTGTATTAAGTTTGTTTTCTTAGGCCCTTTTGTATTTAGCGTTAGAAATTAACGTTAATGTTTTCAAAAAACTATATGATGGTAGCTATTAGCATTGGTGTTTTCAGAATTAATTTACAACATTAAAATTTTATCAAAAATGTTATTGCTAATTGAAAACGATATTCCCCAACAAGGCTTTAAGAAGATATGAACATTAATTTGTATCTAAGAGCTTCATCCTCCGGTATACATTATCTTCATTAAACAATGGTAAGGACTTTGTAATAATCCATCCGTCCAAAAAAAATGTGTCCACTTTTACTTTTGTCTGTTCTAAAAAAATATTTCACTTTCAATTAAAATTACACTTTTAGCTAGTCATATTAATTGCATGTATGTTAACCACTACAAAAAAACCACGTAATTGGCACGGAATTATAGGCACGGACGTTCCGTGCCTTCATCGAGAAAAAAAATTAACGCCACGCGTCGCTATTTAATACGTGAAGGGCGTTGGCTCTGGCTTTTCCGTGCCTACATCCGTGCCAACATCGTAATTCTAAAATCGTCACCGGCTTCACTCGACGGTGTTAAGTCCAAAACATAGGCACGGAATAGTCCGTGCCTACGGTCGATACTAGAACCTTCTCTGACAAAGCCTTTGACGAGCTTTACGTAGGCACGGATATTACCGTGCCTATACCCTACCGGTGCCTGCATTAATTATGACGCGCATAAGTTACGGACGTAGGCACCGATATATCCGTGCCTATAACCCTGTCATTGCCCGCATTAATTATGCCGCACATAAGTTACGGGCGTAGGCACAGATATATCCGTGCCTATAACGCGTCTTATTAAAGTGTGCCTGCTAGGTTAAAGAATATTAAAACCCTTTCTTTCGACCAGTCTCATTTTTTCACAAACTCCCATACCCTTCCCCATTCTCCTCCAACACCGCCGCTATTCTCCTCCGCCCTTACCCGATCCCGTCCTAGCCATCTCAGATCCATCTCTTCTCCCTTCCTAACCCTTCCCCACTTTTTACAATATTTATTTTTTCCCTTTCGATTTTATTTTTCAAAAATTAATTACTTTATTTTTCCATTTTTTCCGTTCAGCCAACAATCAGTCATAACATAACTTAATTCAATTTTTTTACTTTATGTGAATAATTTAATTCAAATTTTTTTAATAAGAGGAGGAGGAGCATGACACGACCAATTTCTTCAAGGTCGTCAACTGGTTGTTTGTGAAGAAGGTGAGTTTTTTTAATTCACTTACTCTAAATTATTAACTTTCATCTTTAATAAAATTTAAATTGTTTTTACTCTTTTTTGTAGAGAAACTGCATGCAAGGAGAATTGTTAACTCAATTGAAGGACTCGGTCAATTTTTTTACCCAAGGCCTATATTCGTCTCAAGTTTGGCCGCTCATGAATTCGAAGTCTGAGCCCAAAATTCATACATAATTCTAATATCTGTGATGTTAAAAGTTATTTAAATCATGATAATTTGTAAGTTTTATTTTTATTTGTGAGATGAATGTGGTATGAACATCTATTATTTGTTAGATGTGATGAATATTATTTGACATTTTATTTTAATTTAGTTAATCAATTCTGTTATTATGGTGTGAATATTAGATGCTTTTATTGTTAAATTTTACAAAAATTCCAAATTAAAATTTATTTTTTAAAAAAATATAGGCACGGACAGTTCCTTGACAAAGGGGCCAACATTTATTATTTCGAAAAATAAATTTTCAAATTTTGAAAATTTGAAAAGGCATGAAATGGTAAGAACACTCGTTTGGCACGGCGAGATCCGTGCTTATAAACATTGACGTTTTCCTTCAAATCGTGCGTTTGGAATGGTGTCGGCACGGGTAATTCCGTGCCTTTCTATGGCACGGACAAGAAATCCGTGCCATAAGTTTTGCAACTTTGAAATTGGCAGGTATTTTCATCCGTGCCAAATTCCGTGCCTAATGCTATTGCCACGAAAAATTAAAATCGACGTCCGTGCCAAAGTCCGTGCCAATAAAGCGTTGTTTGTAGTGAACCTACCTATCACATTATATCAACTCATTGTTAACAAAAAAATAATAGTAGGTATCTTCGATTTTGTGATAAGAACTCTCAAACCCCATCATTTTAAAAAAAATACTCCGATTTGGGGTACCTTAAAATATTTGAAAGCTTACTCCGTAAGGACTTTCCGTCCATCTCTTATTCACTTTTTCTATTATCTTTTCATCATTTTCTTCCCAATAATTGTTGCTAGGTACCTCCAATTAAATAGAAAAAACTTTCATGTCCCATCTTTTCATAAAAATATACTATGGGGTACTTTAAAATATTCAAAAACTTACTCTAGGATACTCATTGTTGTTTTTGTTACAATTATTATTATTATTATTATTATTATTATTATTATTATTATTATTATTATTATTATTATTATTATTATTACTGTTATTATTGTTATTATTATTATCACTCACTTTGCCGTTGTCTTCCATAGTTATCTATAGCCGCCGCTTTTGCCTATTGAGTCACGTTATATTGTCGTCGCACACACTCTAATAATAATACTCCCTCCGTCCTAAAACTTTATTCTCAGTTTGACTTTTCCCCATTTTTAATTTTTGGCTTTGACTTCAAATTTTACCCCCCTTAAAAAAGATTTTTTGAATTTTTTTTGCAATCATTCAAAATATAGAGTTAGAAGATAATTGGTGTAAATACATGAGGGTATTAATGTCATTTGTCATCTTTTATTTTCTAATGGGAATGTAGTTTTAGGACGGAGAAAAAGGGGAAGCGAGAAGAAAGTTTTAGGACGGAGGGAGTAATAATAATAGTAATAATAATAATAGTACTAATAAGAGTAATAGTAGTAGTAGTAGTAATAATAATAATAATAATATTATTATTATTATTATTATAATAATAATAAAGAAGGAAAAAATAAGTATATAGGAAAAAATAAACAATCTTACTCGATCCGACAAATTAAATAAAAAGTGAGATTTGTTCTTAGTACGTACTTGCAGAAGCACGCTTCATGCTACATATGGTCATTTTTTATTACCGTTGTCAAGAATCAAATTCGAATATTATATTAACTTTTCCATCCCTTTTTTGTCATTTAATTTATGCCTCTATGGCTCAAATAGAGAGTTAAACATGGAAGCCTACAAGCATAACTTAGGCAGTTTTTCATGTATATGAACAATCCAGTCCACATGTTATTGTTTAACAACATTACAATATACTATTAGTACTGCAAACTAATACTACTAGCTACCAGACAAACACCCCTTTTGTTGAATTTCTATCTTTTGTGACCTTGTGGGTCCCCTCCTTTCTCCCTATCACTCAACTAGTCCTAGTCGGTAGGTCTACAATTTAATTGTGCTAGGCTAGCTATTTACAATACATTTGCTTAAAGGAAAGTAAAATCTCAATTTTTATTGACTCCATCTTTCACCCAAACAATGTTTTACACATAAGCTTAACAAAAAGAATAAATTCAATAATTGATATTTTATAATGGGAATTTTTTCATATTTAGTTATTACTCCTTCCGTCCCAATTTATTTGCAACACTTTGAACGACGTGCAAAATATCATCTCTTTTAAAATTACTTTTATTTCAAATTAGTAGAGTAATAAAAAGTAAAAATTACATCATTTAAAAGTATATGAAAAGCTCTACAAAACAAGATGCGACAAGAATATTTTATTTTATCAAATGGTCAACCAAAACGAGTAAACAAACAAAAGTTATCGAGAGGCCAGAATAATAAACGTGACATTCTTTCTGGGATGGAGGGAGTATAAAATATTACGTTTATATATTGTCTTTTTATAAGTATCTTTTTATTGAAAATATTTAATTTAATCAATTTTTTAAGTTGATGTTCAATTTAAGTCGGACCTTACAAAAAATGACTCGATTTGTTTTTTATCTGAAACCCGATCCAAAAATACTGGGTTTTAAACAAAGGTTTTGATGAGCGAATTCGAACTTGATCGAACCCAAAACGACCCGCTAAAAAGGGTGAAACCCAATCAAACCCGACCTGACAAATAAAAGGACAAAAATAGAGTAAGGATATTAAAGTAGCACGAGCAAGAAGCTTGAGGAGACTGGCCCTATATTTTATGGTAAGAAAATTCAGACACATTAAAACGAACACAATGAGTAACATATATAGACTATAGAGGTGAACGGATCAAATCGAAACAACGGAAGCCTTTGGTGTGTGGCTCATAGCGAATAAAGACATAAAATTTAGAGCGAGACTATAGTATGCGATCAAACTCGTGACGAATGTGAGGGTAAGCTAGACACCTAGACACACTTATAAGGGAGTAACCAGGGGCTTGATAAACTATATAGTTTTTCATAAGGGTAAATATGGGCTAAGAACGGCTTTGGGAGACCGTTAATGAGAAAATTTAGTTGTGGCAAGATTGATAACTTTTCGACAGGATGGCGATGCTTACGTTCCGCCATCCCATTTTACTCCGAAGTGTGTAGACAAGTTTTCCTTATGAAGAATGCCAATGTTCCTTTAAAAGAGGCAATTTTTTTCATTTGCATGTTCATTTCCATTATCAGTATAAAAAAGTTTGATAATAATACCCCCAAACTAATTTCGAACCATACACTGGAAACTTTAAAAAGCCTCAAATGCCTTAGATTTATGTTTCAGGGGATGTAACCAAAAAATTTTAGTGAAGTCATCAATAAAAAAGTTGTAAAAGTGATAATTAACCACCAAAAGAGAGAACATAACTAGACACCCTGAGATGCTGCATGAGTATGTGTGCATTTAGATTTACTTACATGGTTAGAAAAATACTTTCATGGTTTTCAGGTCTATTCCAATTGCATAGACCTTTCTAATATGGACTCCTTAGCATCAGTATTAGTATTACTATTAGTATGATTACTAGGATTAAGACTGAGATTAGAATTGATATTAGGATTAAGATTATAATTAAGATCAAGATTAAAGGATTAAAATTAGGATTAGGATTAGGGTAGATATAGAGTTATAGTTATAAGACTAATCACATATATGGGGTGTTTCTCTGCACTGGAGTTTATTGACTTATAATTGATAAACAGTTTTTAACTTATAAGGCTTTGTTCCGTACGCCTCATCTCATTGAATCTGATCTGAATTTTTGATGTTCTGATCTGATTGGGTCTGATCTAATCTGATTGGATCTGATCTGATCTGATTGGATCTAATCTGATTAGATCTGATTTTCTCTAATTAGATCTGGTGTAAATGAATTTAAATTTGATTTAAATTAAACTTAAAATTATTACAAAATTTAATAGTTTTAAAGTATTACAATTCATATATACATAAAAAAGTAAAATAATAAAATCAACTAATCATTAATATGTTTAAACTTTTTTTAAAAAAATATTAAACATCTTTTCAATATCACAACTTTTTTAATTTTTATGAAAACTAAATAATCGGTATTAAAATAAACAAATATTAGAAAATATTGATGCTATTCTACAAAAAATCACATTCTATATACATATTACATAATAATATATTTCATGTTACAAATTAAATATCATGTAAAATTTTAAAAATTAATATCGCTTTCACCTCTATCAATTTTGTCATAAACTCATCCTTGTGTATATTATACCATCTTAAAGTTTAAAAGTAAGTCTTTTTAAGTATAAAATATTTATAGTTTTGAAAACTAAGTTTTGTATAATTATTTTATAAAAAAGCATTTTAAAATAACTCTTTTTAAAGTATGAAAAATACAACTTTTTAAGCTTTAACATTGCTTCCATGCATCATTTTTATCCTAAAAGCTAAACAATTATTTAAAATAATGGTTTGTAGTTAAATAATAATAATAACAACAACAACAACAACAACAATAATAATATAACAACAATAATATTTAAAATTATAATATTAATTAAGATTTAGGTGTGTGTAGTTTTAAATAAAGTAATGTGATTTAATCAAATGATAGTAATTATTATTTAATCCTTGAAAAATATAAATATTACTCCCTCCGTCCACAAATAAACTTTATGTTGCGCGTTACGATGTTTGACCGAAGTTATTTCCAAATCATTTTATATGAAAAATGGTGTAGAATTGAAAAATATAAATTACATATTAAAAAACTATATCAAATGATCTACAAAACTAGAGGTGACATGATTATATTATTTTATCAAATGGGTGACGAAAATAGGCCAACAAAGTGAATAAAGTTTGACCATGTGAATAGTGAACGTAAAGTTTATTTGTAGAAGGAGGGAGTATCTTTTATATTTTTTAATTGATTTGATATTATTGAATTTGATCTGGTCTAATCTGATCTGATTGGATCTGGTCTGATATGATTGGATCTGGTCTAATCTGATTGAGTCTGATCTGATCTGATTAGGTCTGGTATAGTTGGATATGATTTTAATAAGAGTAAGTAATAAGTAAAAAAATAAGTCATACGGAACGGACCCTAAGCTTCTTATAAGTCAAATATTTTTTCATAAAAGTAAAATAACTTAAATAATAGATAAGTCATTTGTAAATATTCATAAATGGTGAGAGACACTTTTGTAAAAAATTTGGTCAGAATGGAAAAACAAAAAAAATTGTCTTAAGTCAACTTATTCTTTCTGGCTTATAAGCAGCTTATAAGTCAGTTTATAAGCACACAAAAACATGTCACCAGTTAACTTATAAGTTAAAAATTGTTTATAAGCAGTTTTGACCATCTGATAAACATAGAGAAACATCCACATAATTTAATACTCCCCCAGTCCAAAAATTATCTTCCATTGCGCGTTGCGATGCTTGACTGAATCTGAATTTATTTTCAAATCATTTTATATGAAAAATGGTATGATTACATAATAAAAATTACTTTAAAAAACTACATCAAAAGATCTACAAAACCAGAAGTTGACACGACTTTATTATTTCATCAAATGTGTAATGGAAATAGGTAAACAAAGTGAATAAAGTTTAACCTTGTGAATAAATAATGAGCGAGAAGATAATTTTTGAACAGAGGAAGTATAAACTTTGTGCTTCTATTAGTCTCAATTTGTATGATATATTAACATAATGAAAATCCTTTTTTTGATATGTAAATTTTATTTTTTATTTCTATACCAATATGTAAATAAAATGAATTGAAAAAACTTGATATTTTGCCTCAAAAATACAAGTGTGACAAATATTTAGGGACGAAGGGAGTACACTTTATCTCAAAAGAGTCAAACTGAATACATATACGGGAAGGAAGCAAGTATATTACTCTCTCCGTCCCCCATAGATCTTCGCATTAGACCTTTTTATTTGTCCCACGTAGATCGTCTCATTACCCTTTTTAACATTTAAGATACTGCAACTATCCCCACTTACTTTATTTATTACACTTTTTCCACCTTATTTAAAACATTCCACCTATTTTCATTAAGACAATTTTGATAAACTTTCACTTTTTTCAACTCTACTTAAAAACAATAAAAAAGCAAAACGATAAGATCTTAAATGGGGAAGGATGGAGTAGTTGATACACCCTTAGTAAACGTAACTGTGGGCTGTATAGGCTGTCATGTCACTTTCATAGATATACTCACTCTTCCCTTCCCTTCCCTTCCCTTCTGCATTTATGCATTATTTCACTTCATTCTCTTCTCATTTATTTTTTTATTCATTATTCCATTTTCTCCCCTTTAATTTCCTCCAACTCTCCTCCTCTGCACTCTTTGAATAAAACCCAGTTTTATTCTTGCAGTGAATGAAGTTTTGTGTTTCTTGAAAAAAGTGCAATAATGAATTATTGATTTTAAACTACACAAGAGATTTATTTATTTATTAATTAAAGATGCCCTTATTAGAAGAAGATTCTTCTTCTTCCATCCCTTTCCCGGATCTCTCCCTTCACATTAGTCTTCCCCGGAGCTCCGGCGACCGGTCATCGTCCGCGGCGGTCACGGACACCGAGCTCTCTCTAAGTTCTTCCGGCCGCCGGCAACGGGGCGAAGGGGCTTCCTCGACGGAGCCGATTAACGGGATCCCAGTTTACCACGACCCGAGCGGCGCCTGCCTCCGCTCCTCCTTTGCGGCCGCTCACCGGAGCGTGGCCGGAGCATCGGCGGGTAGGGTTGACGGGATGGCGGCGGCCGGTTATCATGAAATGCTGCAGCAGCAGCACTATTTCAACAGCCACCGGTACGGTGAGTTTCCGGTAGTGGCTCACAGCGTGGGGATGAGGTCGAGATTTTGCTCAAAATTTCAGGCGAGACGGAGCACGAGGGCGCCGCGTATGCGGTGGACAACCACCCTCCACTCCCGGTTCGTTCACGCCGTCGAACTCCTCGGCGGCCATGAAAGTAATATTATTTTCATCACCAAGTATTTATTTATTCTTCTTCTTATTATTATTATTATAAATAATGATTTATTATTATTATTATTTATTACGCCAGTATAATAATAATAATATTATTATTAAAACAAGTACGTACAAAATATTAGTTTTGTCTTTAACAATATTTTTTAAAAAAACAGAATTTTTTAAAACAATACTTGAATATTTGTTTGTAAGAAACTTGATCTTGAAAAAATTGATAAGTAATATTTTTCAAAAAAATAATATTAATACGGAGTAAAATAAGTAATTTTGGTTTCTTAAAAACATTTCATCAGAAGTATATTGTTAATCACGACATCATCAGCTCACTTGATTTGTACTAATCTAAAGCAGTAACTTCTCGTAAACTATTTATCTAATTTTTGTGGGCAGTCAAAAAAAATTGATTTACTTTTTTGGAACAAAATTTCCATTTTTTAAAAATAGGTTTAGATATATACTTCAGTAGCTTTTAAAAAATAAGTGAGTTAATTAGTTCATTTTACCAATTGTAGTATTTGCAAATATTCTTTAAAAAAAGTATAAAACTATCAAGACCAAAAATACATTACTCCCTAAAATAAAAATAACGACAATTATAAAATATAAATAACAACAACAACTAAAATAATAATAATAATAATAATTAATTAATAATGATAATGAATGGAGAAAATAAATACTTGTAATTAAAGAGTAATTAAAGAGTAATAGGGGTTTTTTGGGATTTAATTTGTGTAGGGGCAACCCCAAAATCGGTGCTAGAGCTAATGGATGTGAAGGATCTCACCCTCGCTCATGTCAAGAGCCATTTACAGGTACACATATATACTCTTCTTTCCTCTCTTTCAATTCAAAAATTAAAATTTTTACTTTCTTATTTAAATTAAAGTGTTCTAAAATAAAATTCACTCCATATTTAATTCATTACGCAGCATTTAACCACTCAATTGAATTAATTGTCCATTTTTTAATCTTAATTGTTTTTTATTTTGAGACAAAAATTGTTTTGAATCTTTTTTTTTGTTCTAATTTTTTTTTAAAAAACAAAGAAATGCTTGGGTTCTGTTTGGCAATCTGGATCTTTCTTATCCCCTCTCCGAAAATGTTCTTCCATTTGATTTTTCGCAGTCTTCAAGATTGTACTGCACCACTAATATCTATATTTATACATGATTATATTTTATAAAATTTGGTATTTGAAAACCATGTTTCAATATGATGAATATATTAATATTAAATTTATATCATTATACAATGTATCAGAGTCTAAATTTACAAACTTTGACTAAAAAATCAAATGAGAAGAACATTTCGAAACGAAAGAATAATTAATTACTTACTCCCTCCGTCCCAAATTATTTGTCACATTTCTATTACCGAGGCAAAATATCAAATTTTTTCAATTCATTTTATTTACATATTGATAAAGAAATACTCCGTAAAAAATAAAAATTACATATCAAAAAACTACATGAAAAATTTTTTGAAATAAGAGGTGTCAACAATATTTTATTTTATCAAATACCAATGAAAAATAGATTTAAACAAAAGTTCCCGCAATTATTGAAAAATTAAATGTGACAAATAATTTGGGACTGAGGGAGTATATAGTTATATCCCCTCCCGAAAGAGTAGCCGACAGTGAATGAATGTGTGCAGTAAAAATGAAGTTTCTCAGTTTCTTCTGATCTGATAATGGCAGAAATAAAAAAAGATGAGAGAGAAAAATGAATAAAAAAAAGGAAAAATAAAAAGTCCTAGGAGGGGGTGGTGGTGGGGGTAGGGGAGGGGGGAGGGTCATCATTTCTCAATAATACAACCTAGCTACTACCCTACAAAAACCTAGTTATGAGCCTATAGCCTGTCTCTGCACATTTTATCGTACGTACATTTGACCTTGACCTCCCCTGCCCTCGTGATTTGTTGAGCAAACCAAAAATTACATTTGAATAAAAATTTTGTCATACATATATACCATCCCAATTGGTCCTTTCTTTCACATTAAAATGTTTTGTCACCAAAATTAAAAAGTGAAATTTTATAGTTGACAATCATATTGTAGGGAGAGAAATAAAAATATTTTTATTTTGACTTTAAAGAAATTTGTAAAAATATTTTTGTGTTGATTTTCAAGAAATACTATTGATGTGATAAACAAAAGTATGATGTTATGAGTAAATTATTACCTTCTCCGTCCTAAAATTAACTTCCTAGTTTGACTTCTGTAGTCAAACTTTTTAAACTTTGACCGTTTATTACGAAAAAAAATACATTGAATTTTCATATAAAATTAGTAGCAATAGTTTAATTTTGAAAGATAGCTTTGAAATATGTAACTTTTATAAAATATATTTATATAAAAATTGAGATATTGATGGTCAAAGTGTCGCATTGGAGATCGTGAAAAGTCAAATGAGAAGTAAATTTTAGGAAAGATGGAGTAATAAAAATATATGATGTGACCAATTGGTTAAAAATTAATATAGATAAGAATGGTTTTTTAATATAAAAAGTAAGAATGTTATGGGACAAGAAAAAAGGAACAGAAATCACCGTAAATAGAACTAAAACATAAAAAATTACCAAAACAAGAGTTCTATATTTTTATTCCCGAAATAAGACTTTGCATTGTGATAATGTGGTTGTAATGTGGCAATCTACATATGCACATTACTATACTTTTTGGAAATATACATGACAATATTTGGTAATATAAATGCATTTTAACTCTCATTTTAAAAATAAAAACATGGAAATCCTATTTTGGTATTTTTTCAATGTTTTGAGGAATTTATTTAAATAACACTAAAACGTATTGACTTTTCCTAAATAGCACCACATGTATTTTTCTTCCCAATGTAGCACTTTTAGTCATTATGAATTAGTCATTATTCAAGCAAATACTACCTCCGTTTCTCAAAAGAGTTCCTCTTTTGACTTTGGGGGAAAATAAGGAAGTGTTAAATTGTAGTTGACTTTCCAATTTTGCCCTTGATGTGATGGGTAAAAGTAAGATGTGATAGTTTAGTTGTTAGTGAAAAAGTATGATGTGATAGGTAGGGTATGAAAAAGTAGGGGTAGAAGTGGTTTTTTAATAGAAAGGGAAAGTGTTTTAAGAAAAACAAAAAAATGAAAGAGGAAGAGTTTTAAGAAACGGAGGGAGTATTTGACATCACTAGACATTATGGACATTATTAAGTGTTATTTAGGCAATAAAACATTTTAAGTACTATTTAGAGAAATGACTTAAGTTTTAGTGTTATTTAATGCAAATATTTCTAATGATATTTTCAAATGTTAAGAATAATTACTTTTAGAAGGACAAAATAGAAACTCTAAATTAAAACCCTCTCATGAAATTAACACAGACATAGTTTATATTTATATTTATATTCATTTTTCTATGTATCATCAAAGTGATGGTATACCGTTTTTATGTGGGAAAATGCTAAAGTCACAAACATATAGTTCACAAACTTCACAAACTTACTTTTTCTAGATTTTAAATTAAAATATCTTTTATTATTTGAGTGCATCTTATTTTTTGGAAAGTGTTAAAAAGGTAAGTTTGTAAATTTTGTGAACAATTTGTTTGTGACTCTAGCATTACTCTTACCCAAATATTTCTTATGCCTAAATAATTTGTTTTTAATTTTATGATTATTAATATACCAATGCAGATGTATCGAACTGTTAAAACGACGAGCAGCAAACCTGCCGCAGCCTCATCAGGTAAATTTATTCTCTTAATTTTTTTTTTAAAAAAAACTTTTTTAAAAAAAAAATCTTGTTTTTTTAAAATGTTAATTTGCAGTTTTGAACATAGATTGGGCGTTGATTCTTCATCTGTTCTTCAATATATGTTGAAAAGATATATTAGATCTAATATTATACTATACCAACTATATTCTTCGTCCCTGATTATTTGTTCAGATTTAAGTTTTTGTAATTTACAACTTTCAACTTTTACCATATACTACGGGGTAATTGAATAAAAATTATATGGTATATAAATTAATTAGATATGAAAAGATTTCAAAAAATACATTAAATTTAAAAAAATTCTCTTAATATCCACGATCAATTTTACTTAACTAATGGTCAAAATTTATCAATTTTACCAAAAAAATTTAAAACTGGTCAAATATTTATTAACGGGAAAAGAATTAATAGGGTTCAAAAAATGGGTTAGGTTGTCATTTCCGCAAAGAAAACAAGTTGGTAACATTTGGTACTGTATCGTCTTTCTTTAAACTTACATTTGAGATCATTTGATAAATTTATATAGTTATTTATGTCACATTTTATATTTTGTATTACTTTTGATATAGTTTTATATACATAAACTTTTTTTCAAATTGTATACCAATATTTAAATATACTAAATTAAAAATAATTTTACTCAAATCTCAAGGATTCAAAATAAGAAGATTATTTAGGAATGAAATAGTGATAGTTTTACAATAATACATCATAGAATTTCTAAAGTACATGCAGGAATCATTTACTTAACGACTTCACTGTCACACTAGATAAAAAAAATACTCCGTAATATTCTATGTGCAAGACTCGAACAAATACAAATCTTGCTTGCATGTGAGGGAACTTGTTGGAGTATACAATCTTTTCTGGGTCCTACAATCATTATATTGAGTGTTTGGTTAATTTGGTTAATTGGTATCTACTACCGGAGTATTTTTTTTTAATGATTTGAGAACATTTCATTAATTTGTACTCCCTTCATTCTTGAAAAGAGTTCTACTTTTGACCAAGTGGTAAAATAAGAAAGTCTTAAATTGTACAGAGTACTTGATTTTAAATTTTGTCTTTGATGTGATAAGTAAAAGTAAGATGTGATAGATAGATTATTAGAGAAAAAATATGATGTGATGGGTAAGATAAGAAAAAGTAGGTGTAAAAGAAGTTTTTAATAGAAAGTAGAAGAGTTTTGTTGAAAGTGTAAAAAAAGGAAAGAGGAAGTGTCTTTGAGAACTAGGAAGTAAATTTTAAGTATTCATGCTAAAAATTTAAATTTGATGTTTGCACTGTGGTAATGTGACATTGTAAATATATACATTTGACTGTAATGTAATGTATATTGTCATGATTGACACTGTAAATATATTTTAACTCTTATTTCGAGAATAAAAATATAAAACTGCTATTTTGATATATTGTTAATATATTTCTTCTACTTTAATCTTTTTTTGCCTTAAATGTTTGCAAACCCTAGTACCCCATAATAATTGCTCTCTCTGTCACAAATTAAATTACAATTTTTGCATTACGAAGTAAAATTCTGTATTTTTTGGGTAAAATATGAGATGACACAAATATCTTGTATTATCAAATAATTTATGAAAAGATACAAATAAACAAAAATTATAGAGTGGTGTGAGAAAGAAGGGTAATTATTTTCGGGACAAAACTAGTATGGAATCTTCGAACATTGATATAAAATTTCAAATATTTGAGATACTTATGTGAATATTATTTCCATCCCAAACTAAAATTTACTTTTCCCAAATTTTTAAATATTTGGAGTTGGCATTGAAGGGCTATCGGATGGCTCGGTGGAAGATGAACACTCGTCGTCGATGGGCAGTGGCGGCGGAGGAGATTATTCCGCCGCCGGAGTACGCCAATTGATTGGCCAAGCCGCCGCGCTGCCACCACTCGAATCCAAACTCATTCCTACCATGACCACTCTTTGGAGTAACTCTTCAAGGTAATCTTTTTCTCTTTGTTTCTTTATTTATTTATAAATCATACTCCATATTCATTAATCTAGCTAGAAGATCATTACATTAATAACCCACACCTCTAGGTATTCTTAAAGAAAATTTGACAATAATATACCCTCCCCGTCCGTGAAAACATATGAGATTTTAATTTTTTAAGTATTTAATGTGAGTGTATTTGAGTTTAGAGTTTTCAAAAATGTCCTTAGATATGATGGGTAAAAATATGATTTGATGGATAAATTAACAGTGAATAGATGTGATATAAGAGCAAGGTTCCCACGACATTGCCCGACAATGTTATGGGATGATCCGGGGGCGCTCCGGTGTCCCGTTCGAAAAAAATTACGATCCCTACCCTCTAACTCCTGGTAAAGCCTCCCACCCCGTCCCGACCCGAACACACACCCCACCCCCTTTAATTGCACCCTACATTGCAACACATGAAAAAAAGATAAAAATTTTATTGACACATGGAGTATTTTTCTTTTTAATTAATGAATCAATAATATACTTGGAGTGTTGGTAGGAATGTAAGTATGAAATAAAGTCAATATTTTTCCAACAATAATGTAAGAAGAGAGACCTTTATCTTTTGTCAGCAATGAGTTGAATATGTACGATTTATGCAGTGGAGATTGTGGTGGATATCTGTAAAACTCGGTTTCTAATCCGTCATTTTAACTTTTGAGAGATCTCTAGCCATTGAGTTTTGGCTTGTTAAATGTTACTTTCTCCGTTTGGAAAAACCCTTCATATTTGATTTGGGGGCAAAAATAAGGAAGTGTTAAATTATAGTTGATTTCCAATTTTGCCCTTGATGTGATGAGTAAAAATAAGATGTGATAGATAGATTATTAGAGAAAAAATATGATGTGATAGGTAGGGTAGGAAAAAGTAAGGGTAAAAGTGGTTTTTTAATAAAAAGAGGAAGTGTTTTGTTGGAAGTGGAAAAAATGAAATAGGAAGTGTTTTTGAGAACGGAGGGAGTATTATTTGGCAATCCATTTCAATTTTTGTGCTCCAAGGGGCTTGCTATAGTATAGCATACTTGGTAAATGTTAACTTTGACTTGTTATATATAACAAGCCTCTCAAAAAATAGCAAACCATGAAATTAATTAAATATATTATTTCTCTCTTCTTTTCTCTCATTCTCCTTTTCAAAATATAAAGTTACTTCTACTCTCTAATTTTTTGTTTTTGTAAATTTTTTTTCTCTACTCTTTGATTGGTATTTATTAAATATTTAAAATAATAATCCGTATATTTTATTATTTTCCCTAAAGTACGTAAAATAATACTCCGTATTGTTTTTTGAAATTATTATTTTTAAATTACATACTTATTACTAAATTTTTATAATATAAAATAATAATTGAATAATTATTATAAAGAGTGTATTATAATAGTAAAAAGAATATAATATAATTGTTAGCTAAATTATAGCAAGGAAAGGTTGGAGATGACAATGCAAAATGACTTGCTATACCACTATTCACATGCTAAAAAATGACTTTAGCAAGCCATGTTTAGCAATTGTGGTTGGAGATGCTCTCATATGGTTGACTTGTACTTAGTCAGTCTTAAAATTAAAAATAAAATTTACTCTCTCCGTCCTTAAATATTTGTCACACTTGTATTCTCGACTATTGATAAAATATTAAGCCTTTTCAATTCATTTTATTTACATATTGGTATATAAATAAAAAATAAAATTTACATATCAAAAAACTACATGAAAAGTTCTTCGAAATAAGAGGTGTCAAGAATATTTTATTTTATCAAATAATCAATAAAAACGTAGAAATAAACAAAAAATCCTAAGACTGCTGAAAAAGAAAGTGTGGCAAATTTTTTGGGATAGAGGGAGCATATATATTTAAAAAATTTATATCAAAAGTTTTATAAAATAAGTTGTTACAAAAAAATTTTTGGACGGAGGAAGTATTAAATAATCAACCAAATGTACTAATAAGTTAAAATTTGCGTTACTTTTGAATAGTAAAGAGTATAATTAATTATTTTAGGACGGGTAATAGTATATATAAATCTATGCTTGTACTTTTATTTTTTTCTTGTTTAGGAATGGAACATTGATTCATTCATGTAACTTTATATTTTAATTATTCAAACCCAAAGTTTCAGTTACTTGACTTTAATATCTACGAGATTAAAATTATTACTATTGTCATATTCTAGAATATAATCTAACAGAAGATATGTAAAGATGATAAGGTGTCTCGTTCATAAAATTGGTGTATAAAACAGTACCATGTAAAAGTAACAATACCATTAGATATACGATTCCGTATATACGGCGTATAAATGTTTTGATTTTATTTTTTCAAAAGCCAGTTGTGGTGAGGTGCCGGGTCAACGTTTGTTGAGAACGTTGACCGTAGTGGGTGGCGTAGTACAGTGGTGACCTATTTTTGTACAGTCGCATTTTGACTATTTGATTCCGTAGAATCCCTACCAAGGCACGTGTGAAAATTTATATCATCTCCTCCGCATGAATATCTTTTCAGTTAAATTTTTACCCTCTTCCTATCAGAATTATTTTTCGGATTTGATTTGGTAGGATGTTTAATGAAATAGAATTTTGGTAGTTATAATTTGTTTAATGAACTACACATTTATTTTCTTAAACGGAAACTAAAGATGGATCTTTTAGGACAATCCATGTAAGAAAAGAAAGAAGATGATTATGGGACGGTGAGAGTATTATAGAGTTAGGCTATGTATTTTAGGTTAGAATTTCACTGTTAGGTGCAGGAAAAAATTGAAAAACTTGGAAAAAAGGAAGAAATTGGAAAAAACTAGAAGAAGTTAGAAAATATTGAAAAAATCAAAATGTTAAAAATTAAAGTCATTCAATTAAATAATTACCCAAATAAAAATGCAAGAAAACTCTTATTTTGGATAAAAAAGAATTCATCCTTCTTCGTGTTTGTGGTGGTATGTTATAAATTTAGATATATATAATGTTATTATATGTTCATCATATATAAATATATTTTTAAATTTTTAGTTAGAAGAAACTTGAAGGAGTTGGAAGAATTTGAAAAAAGTTTTTAAAAAAATTGCAAGAGGTTGGAGAAAGTTGGACGTTAGTTTTTTCAATCCAAAATAACAGCGTCTTAGTCCTATATCTTTTGTGTTTGATTTATTGTCTGAGTCAGAATTCACAAAGTCAAACAACTTGAAGGTTCTATTTTAATTTTTTTCTTATGTTTTACTTTTATTTTATTTTTTTCCAACGGGAGAAAGACTAAATATTAATAAAACATAGGAAAATAAATAAAATAAGACATTTATGTTTTTATCCCCAAAATAAGACAAAAAATTCCAACACACAATCCCAAAACAATACCGTGGAATGCCAATATACAATGTCATATTGTCACAATGCTCTATATTATGAATAAAAATTCATCATTCTTATTTATATCAAGGATAAGAATTATATTTTGCTCCAAACTAATTCATAATTATCTAAAACTTAATCCGACCAAAATATTCTCAACTAATTTCATTTTAAATAGCACATTTATCTGATAATGCATCACTTAAAAAATATAAAAAAGGGCATCTAACCAATATTTTTTCCTTGATTAAGGTTGCATTTTCTTTAAGTTCATTTTATTTACTTATTAAGTACTTCAATGAGCAAAAATATGACTAAAACTATTACCAAAGAGGTACTCTATCTTCATCTCTAGTATATTATTGTTAGTCATTGTTACTATGACATATTGAGAACTAACTAATATGCTTTGTACAAACCTTGTGTAGTGGAGATCTATTGTTAGAAGCAAGTAGTATGAGAGCATCTTCCTTTCCAATATTTCAACAAAGACAAGATCATCACATTCAGGTATACTATTTTTGTTTCCATTTTTGACCATGTTAGTATAACACCAAGAATACCATCAAGTTTGACATTACTAGTGTCTCAAGAATAATAATTTCTTATTGATAATTATTGTCTATGCGAAAATTAAATAACCAAAAGATGTTTATCTTGATGTCAAGCTTGGTGTTTCACTAACACTTGTGTTCTATTTATTGTAAGTTTTTTGTGATTTTTGTGTACTCGTGTCCGTAGTAGTTTTGGGATACGTCATACTATAATTACACCATATATGATATCCGTATTGGATGGCATCGTCAGTGTTTTACGTGCAGTAACTTCTTCTAAATAATAATTGTGTGCTTGTGATTATCTCTTATGTCAACTTTGGTGTCATCTTAGAGTAAAATAACATATTCGTTTTTGTATATTAGTTGAATTTTTTTTAAAAAAGTTGATTTTTTAGAAGCATTTGCACTAAATAGAATTAAAACCCAAGTTATTTTGCTAAATAACACTTAAACTGCTTAATTCTTCAAATAACATTTTAATAATATCCAAAAGAAAGAATAATATCCAGTTATGGCGAACATTTACTTAAATAATGACTAATGGATAATGACTGAAAATGCTACATTAAAAAGAACATATATGATACTCCCTACTATTTAGGAAAGTCATTATGTTTTTCTGTTATTTAATTAAATTCTCCTTTTTTTAATCATTCGCCAATGAATGCAGGAATGGGATTCGGGGAGGCCCAATAGGTGCATGAGCTCCGGATGGGATCAAATAAAGCCCAGTTTGGAATTCACATTGGGCAGATCGGATTGGGCTCAAAAGCAAAACCACTAGCCAAACATTTACTGGACCCGGCCGTTAACTATACTAAAAATCTCATATTATAGTCTTAGGCTGGCTGCTCGCTTCCATCAACCTCACAACTTGAAAGGATATTTTGTGCATCTGGCTTTATGTAAAGGCTTTATACTTACTTTGGGCCAAGGCCCAGTAATGACAAAAGAAGGGTCTTATAGTGAAAATTAGGGTATTATTTAGATTTGATTTTCCACAACGACGGTGAAAGATGGTCATGCGTCAGATAAAAGCTTTTGAATTTACCATGAAATGGATTTCATCCCTTTTTGTTAGACACTAACACTATAAATTAATTTATTTCCTTCTAGATAATTGTTCTGCTAGTCTTGAGAACTGTGAGGATAAATTTATTCCAGGTTTATTTTCATTTTAGATTTAACTACATTTAATCGATTCTTTAATCTTCTTTTTTAACGAGTTGGGTAGGGCGGTTGGTCGTGGGAGTGAATTATTGAGATGGTAGTTACAGAGAAAATATATGTGTGCACTAATTGTTACTAAATTTTGATCAATTTGAAGTTTGAATGTGCACATTTTCGTGTCATTGTTGAAATCACTAATTGTTTAAAGTTACAATAATAATAGTGTACTTCTTTAGTAAATAGAGTCAATTGTACCAAAAAATAATACCCATTTATCTTTTTGTTTTTCATTTGAATTATTGAAAAAGATTGATTGACATTACCTACTAGTTTGAGAATGTCATCTCACAATAATATCTTAATTTGGGATATTACAACGTCCAATTTAGAATACTAACACTTTGAATATCTCTATTAGGTCTAAAATGCCAAATTGGACTCTGTTTTGATAGACATTTTAGTTTATTTAATTAACAATGTTTCTGCAATTTTTTCCAACAATTTAAAAAATCCACATTAATTTTTTTATGCTTATACATAGTAGTAGTCTGTATTATGGTAGTGACTAATGGGATTTTTATGGGAGAAAGATCGAAGTAAGACTAAAACATTAAAAATATACCAAAATAAGACTTTCATGTTTTTATTCCTAAAATAGAACTTAAAATGCATTTTTATATTATCAAACATTGTAAAGCACATTACCAAAAAATGTAGTAATGTGCACATGTACAATGTCACATTACCACAGTGCGAAGTGTTATTTCGAGAATAAAAACATGATAGTCTTATTTTGGTATTTTTCTATGTTTTAGTCATATTTAAATAATTTCTAAACTTTTATCGTAGCAACTAATGGGAGGCTGTGAAGGTCCCACAACCTGCTTCTTGCAGAGACTTTGGAGTGTAAAGAGGCAGCCTTATCATGGTTTGAGGTAGGGATGTAAACGAATCGAATCGAAGCGAATACCAATATATTTGAGTTTGTATTTGTTTAATTTTTTCGAATACGAATCCAAATCCGAATATGAGACGAATTCAAATTAAGATTTGAATAAGTATTTGATTAATATTCGAATAGTTATCGAATAATAAACGAATATTTGAATAATCATACTATGTACTCCGTAATTTATATGATGAACCAACATCAATTTATAATTTAACTTACGATACTCTTTATATTATATTATATTCCGTTTATAAAAACATTAATACATTTGCATCTTACACAAACTTATATTTTATAAAATATAACTATTAAAAATCATATGCTTTAGATTTTTGTGTTACCTTAATTTATTGAATTCTTAGTATTTTAAATACACTTTATACTATATTACTTTGCTTGCCTTTTGATGTTGAAAACATGGTCTGTGTATATATACATATATTCGAATATTCAAATATCATCCGAATCGAATAAATCCCTATTTGTATTTGTATTTGATTAATATTCGAATCAAAAATAATATTTGAATTTGAATTTGTATTTGAATAACGCGAATTCGAATCATCATATTCGAATACAAATCGCGAATCAAATTTAAAATATTTGATTTGTTTACATCCCTAGTTGGAAGGAAGGGACGTTCGGGAGGTTTTGTTGCTTTTAGACTATCAAACATTAGTTCACACTTTACGCATGTGGGTGAGCGTTTTAATGCGAGAGACACAAACACTTCAGTCACAAAATACCCGACTTTGCCATTTGTGCACCTCACTAAATGAATAAAATGGTGTTGAATAATTAAAAAGTGAACATTTCAATACACAAATGGTAAGTTTGTGTATTTTGTGACCAAAATGTTTGTAACTCTAGCATTTTTCTTTAGTTGCTCTTCATGTGTGGGTTCGGTTGTTGAGGATTGTAAAGCCATGTTTTGCAAGTTATATTTTTTATTTATTACTTATTTTTATTAAAATCAAATCAGATCAAATCAGAAATAATTTTAATTATAACTATATTCAGATCAGATCAAAAAACCATTCAGATCAGGTGCAAAGAACATGCCTATGTCTATTATGTTTTCTTTTGTTTGTGTTTCTTTTGTTTTAATTTGTAGATCATTGAAAATGAGGGCTCATACTCTCGCCAGAAATGCGATGTTGTTCTCGGGGTGTGGGAGTTTTCCCCGCCTAATTTTGTTGTATTGTTCCTTTGATTTTAGAATGTAACATAATGATCATTATATTTAACTCTTTGTAAATCACAAAAGTTATAATGATCCCATGGCGACAATGTCATTTTCATATTTCATCAAAGTCCTTTTAATCCTCCTTTCAAGGATACATTTCTCTACTTTAAATAAATTTCATGAAAATTTATTTACTTTTACTCGAGTCACAAATTTAATTTTGGAACAATTTGAATATTCAAATTGCAATAATTTCATTGGCACGATTCTCAAACAGCAAAATTTTGCTACAACAGAAAACATATTAGGCACAAAGTTATACCCTTAATTCATTAACTCTGCTAATAAAAAACAATTAAAATTAATAACACTAAAGAGCAAAACCTTTGAGATACTCCGGGTCACGTTTGGCCCGTTCTTGGAACTTCTTGAACCACCGGTCCAAAATATCCATCGGCACCACCAGCCGGCTCCCGTCGACGCCGCAGAAGGACTGCATGAAATTGAACAAATTCTCGCCCACCTTCATCGCCATCCTCTCGATCTTCCTCTCCGCGGCGACGTCGAGCGACGGCAGCGTCGCGAGGTCCTCGACGGAGACTCCGATCTTCGCCGAGAGCGGCGTCGCATCCGCCGTGAGCTGGAGCTCCCCGCCTGGCTCCGGCCACGGCAGCGACAGCACGGCGGAGGGGCGCGCAATCGTCACCGCGCCGCAGAACAGGAACGGCGATCCCGGCGATTGGATGTAAACGGCGAGAGCCTTGTCCGGCGGGAGCGTGATGTTGTCTAACAGGAAGATGCAGACCTCCCGGATCGAGTCGTACGCTTCCCCTGCGCACAAAATTAGAAGAAATGAATCGATCTCTGCCGGTAAATTCCACCTGAGACGAGATCTAGTTTGTTAACTTACCGACGAAGGTGTTCATATCGAGGAGCCAATGTGTAGCGTCGATTCGAGCGAAGGTGGAGATGTCGATCGGGAAGCTCCGGTTAGGGAATACCACTCCGAACATCGTTATTCTCCTTCTAGAAACTTCGCACTTCGAAATTACCTTAAGATTCCCTGCTTTCTTCGTCTCCGGCGGGATAATCTCTGATCGGTAATGACTATGGTGGACTGCAGCGACTGAACCAGCTTTTCCAATGGAGAAGATGAAGAAGCCGAAGGAAAAACCTCTTGGAAGGTCTGAGAAGAGGGCGGAAGGCTCTAGAAAGGTCTAGAGTCTCAATAAGAGGTTGAGCAAAGCCCGTTTAAAATACAATTGGGCTGGATAATTGATCTGGCCTCATAAGTAGTAAAATGGGTTGTGGAGTCCCTTAATGTCTAAAAAAAGTCTTGGGCTCTAACTTCCCCAGGTGTTCCGGCCTGGGCCGGAGGGCCCAACCTGTCAAAACCCAAAATATCAAAAAGTCCGACAGGGCCCAACTTATATTTTGCAGATGGCCCTTATGTTGTTCGCGCCGGCCTTGGTTCCGGCCTCCGCCGGGCACGACGTACAGACTCACCGGTAAATTCTCCAGATTTCCTCTGATCATCTTTGTTCCTCATCAATTTTTGCACTTTTGATTTATTAACCAACCTTTATATTCAGGTTGAGAAGAGACCAAATATTATTACTGAATATCATTTCTTTTATAAATCTTGACAATTAATCAGATTTTGACCTTGTTTGGCAGCCAAATTTTATAAACCGATGCTTTATGTTTTCTCAACTAATTTTATGAAATTGGGGAATCTTTGTTGCATCAGATGATACTGAATTTGAAGTGACTCAACTAAAATAATGTCAGTTTTCCAGCATTTTGATGGAGCTCGAGTGCTTCATTCCTTTAACAGAGCTCTTCGTCACCCATCATCATCAAGGTTATTATTGAATCATTTAAGTGTGTTTCCAGTGTTCTTCTTAATTTATGTATTGAAAAGATTTGGGCTTTTACAATGTTTCCTGGCAATTCCAAAAATTCTAGTTCAATTTTTAAAAAATGTTATGAATATCTTTTTTTTTCATTTTATGCTAAATCTTATTTTAAATAAATATTAATCTATTGATGTTGAAAAACTTGTCATACATTATTATATGGATGCCGAAATCGTAATTCATTGCTCCATTGTGCAGTTATTTTAACCATCACATATTTTTCTCACAGTTCTTACTTCTCCGGTCGCTACTGCTCCAAACTCACCCCAAATGCTCATCGGAAAGTCCCATATTTTGGATGTGGCAGCATGGTGTCAAGGCATGAATTCAGATCAGTATCTGATGCCAATATTCTATTCTTCAAATTGGGAAGGCATACTATTGCACCATCTTGTTCATTGTTGAGCCTTCGGCACCAATATGCAACTACAGCAACTTCCACAGAGAAGAAATCAAAGAAGATGTTGTTTTACTTAACGGGGTTGGTTTTTGGGATGGTTGGTTTGAGTTATGCTGCAGTTCCTTTGTACAGGAGGTTCTGCCAAGCTACAGGCTATGGAGGTACAGTGACTCGCAAGGAGGTAAAATTGAATGCACCGAAGCAACATAAATTGAAGTTCGCCATTTTCTATTTACATGATGTTAACGTTTTCTGCTTTGCAGAGTGTTGAAGAAAAGATTGCTCGACATGCCAAAGATGGAACTGTTAGTACTAGGTATTGGATTAATTTTTCTAGTACCAGTATGTGGGAACTTTATTAGATCTCAGTAAGGGTGTTCCTCGGTTCTCTTAAATAAGTTCAGTTTTGAAAAATGCAGACCAAAAAGAATAATTTAAGTTGCTTTTAATCTGTTTCAGTTTGGTTCATTTTAGTTGGGTTTTGTCAGTTTCGTTTGGTTTTGGACCTTGTTTTCTTTGAAGTCACGTTTCAAAGATAAAAACAGATTGCCTATGGCGAGATTGGTTTCAATGGGTTCCACTTTGGTCAGTTTCAAAGCCTAAACCTCAAATGGCAAACACGCATGTAGTTATCTCCATTTTGGTCACTTCTCCCAGTTTTTCATCCATTTTGGTTTGGCAGTCTTTTATGCCCTAGATCTCACAAACATCATTTGCTTTATATTTTTTTGCATGCACCTAAATATTAGGACTGAGTATGGAAGATCATTCATGTTCATAATATCAATTATTGAATAGTGTGGCATATTCTCATCCAGCACTTAACAAATGTTTTGTGTTTAATGATTTAATCACAATGAATTTAAGTTTCTTTTTTATTCCGATGCATAGTTTTGCTCTAATTCTGCCAGGGAGGTGGTTGTACAATTTAATGCTGATGTGGCTGATGGAATGCCTTGGAAGTTTACTCCTACACAACGAGAGGTGCCCTTCTTGATGCTACCATTCTTTGCTTGTTTTGTATATTTGCACAGAATGTGTGATTTGTTAGGTGGAAATGTTTCTTTTCGCTTCACCTGCAGGTAAGGGTAAAGCCAGGAGAGAGTGCCCTTGCTTTTTACACTGCTGAAAATAAAAGCTCAACTCCAATAACTGGTGTATCAACATATAATGTCACTCCGATGAAGGTATATTACTTAAATAAGGACATGGTTCATGAATTTTTCATCACACATTTACCCCTTTTATGGCTGGAAGGGAAGTAAGAATGAGTAATAGTAAAAACCTGTGATTTGACGATGTAGGTGCTTGTTTTTTATATACCACTAAAGTATCGATAAAATAATACTCCCTCCGCCCCCTTTTAGATTACAATATTCCATTTTGGGAAAATTAAGGAGACATCAAATCATTAAATTTTTCCCCAAATTACCCCCAATTAAGGAGTCAAATCATTACATAGGGAGATGGAAGGGAGAGTAAAATGGTCCAAATGGTGTTAAAATTGGAACTTTGTAATTCTGTGGGACAAGAATGAGAGGGAATATTGGAAACAAATTAGGGATGGAGGGAGTAAAACCAAATTTTACCACTCCAAAATTCCCAAACCAAACAAGGCCTCATTTGGAAGTTTGTGAATGTCAACATTTGATTGCCTGACTTTTAGAGTATATTGTAAAAGCTTTAAAGTGATAAAAGCTAGTAGCAGTTTTTCCCAAATACTCCCTCCGTCCCTAAAAGATTGCCACAGTTTTACTTTTTTGGTCAAACTGTGGCACCCTTTTACCACGAATTATGGAAAAAGTATATTTAGTTAAAAATGAGTTTATTTAAAAATATAGTTTTGAAATATTAAATTTTTATAATATTTAATTATTTTAAACTATATTTAATTTGTGGTCAACGGGTGCCACAGTCACAATGGCAGTCTTTTAGGGACGGAGGGAGTACTATACTTGATTTTGTTATTCTGTTTGGGCTACCTTGTTTGATCTCTCATGAAGGGTAGGGGTGGGACTTGTTTTTCTGGCCTATCAAGGTTTTTTTTGTTGTTGTTAGCTAGGTTTGTGATGGGCTTCAGACATAGCCAGGCAGGGTGGAAAATAAGCCTTTAAAAGGTGTTATGCCCTGCTAAGGCATAATGAAAATGATACGAGCCTGGCTATTCCCATCCATAGTGAAAGGAAATGTTTTTTTTATGGAAAAGGAAATGGATATTCATGTTGATGCTAGCAATTCAAGCATGTGCTTGTTTGGCTCTTTGGCTCACATAGGTTAGATGAAGATGTTTTTCATTATTCTGATGTTGAGGTTATTATCTACGATATGATATCTCTGGCGGTCTGACCCATATCTTTGATTTTTGTACTTTTTGTTTTGATAGAAGAGAGGGTAATGAGGTTCCTCATTTCTCGTTTATCACAAACCCTATGATCTGAATTTCCGGTCTCAGTTTGATGATAGTCCAGATTGTGTCTTTGATCTGGCACTTAAAAGACATTTGTTATCAATCAAATTTGGAATGAATATGTGCCTTCTTTGATTAAAAAAAACCTACACGAAGGATAAATTTGTCTTTATAGGGAGTTTCGGCTTCTCTATTTTTTAATCATGGATCTTTCAACTGAAACAAAATGAAAATCTAGTCATTTCTCTCAGTAGGGGGTTTGCTACAACTTTATAACCAACTCAAATACTAACCAGATTTACCATCTTTTCTTTTTTCAGGCTGCGGTGTATTTCAATAAAGTGCAGTGCTTTTGCTTTGAGGAGCAACAATTACTTCCCGGGGAGCAAATTGACATGCCCGTAATTAACACTCTACTCTCATTAATCGCCTCTTTTTACTTGATAAACTCCTTGCTAATAGATAGTCACACACATGCTTGTGCATGACCTTAGATAGGAACGTCTGGAGACTTACAGTTTCAAGTAGGAGTAAGACCTACGTTCACATGACACGCCCTGAAACCCTACTTTTCATCGGATTTGATTTGGTTGGTTATTGTAAATATATATGTATGTATATGCAGGTATTCTTTTACATCGACCCTGAGTTCGAAACGGATCCCAAGATGGATGGCATCAACAGCTTGATTCTCTCGTATACATTCTTCAAGGTTTCCGATGAATAGTAGTTCTTCTTGGGTGAGTAAACCCCCCCGACAAGAACAAAAACAAAACCCACTCTAAACCGAATTCCTTGATTTATTTATAGACTATATTCACCTATTGTTTCATAATAGGTTTGCACTTCCATGGCATGTTTAATAAATTTGAACCTAGTGAAAAAAAACAAACATTTCTGTTCAGGTCCATCATGTAACTAACTACATTTCTCAAAGATATGTTTATATTCTCAGCCATCTTTGGTCTGAATTTTAGTCCACATGATAGACTAGTGTTTAGAGGTTCATGTAATTGCTCTACAAAATTTTAGCCCATATCATCATTCGATATTCACTAGTGTGATTCAATAAACAATTATCAACGAGTAATCATCGACCCAACTCTCATCCTTACATTGACGAGTAATACACGAGAGCTCATCGGGACCTTTAGAGCTCGCAAGATCTCGAGCCTACAAGTTAGAATCCATCAAATCTATGCATAACATACAATCTAATTACTTCATCAGAAAGTAGATAAAAGTGAACACAAAAGCATAAATTACTTCCTCCGTCTCACTGTCTTTGTCCACTTACCTTTTGGCACACCATCAAATTATATATTAATAATCTATATGTTAAGACGAATCAAACAAGATCACACATGAATATTTTTAGGCTTACACATTGAGAGAATTTGATGAGTCAAAGTGCTTAGATGAAAAGTTCCAGAAGTCAAAACTAGACAAAGACAATGGGACGGAGGTAGTATATACTTTGAGTTAACAATATATGCTCCGTAAATTCGAGTCTGGTTTCTAGTATTTCGAGTTGACATATTGAGGTCGAATGAATAGGTCACCATCCGAGATAGCAAGTACTTTCTCTTTCCCAAATTAAATTGTATGTTTACTGTTCATACTTTGACCCAAGTGGCATTCTTTGACCGTAAATTATGAAAAAAGTATGTATGTATATATATATATATATATATATATATATATATATATATATATATATATATATATATATATATATAGTTATAATGTAAATTTAGTAAAATTTGGTTTACTTTAAAATATAGTTTTAAAATATCAAATTTTTATAATATTTAATTATTAAAAACTATATTTAATTCGTTATTAAAGAGTGCCATAAATTGACCAAAAAAGTCAAACTATGGGAATCTTTTAGAGACAGGGATTATGTAATTTTTAGTTTTTAATCCTACACCATTTTTCATATAAAATGATTTGAAAATTACTTTAGCCAAATATTGTAAACCGAAACATGTGATTTAAATTGAAACAGAAGGAGTAATATTTCTTGTGTTTGAGTATTTGTCAATTTTGAATATTTTTACTCATATTAGACATATTTTAACTATTAATTGTATTAAATTTGTGTTATATATTACTCGGATGGAGCAATACAATAAAATAAAACTTTACTCTTTTTTTCAAAATCAATCTAATGAATTTTTTTTAATATTGATATACAATAGAATTTTTATTGAATTGATGATCAAGATTGATTCAACAGAACAAATAGATTGCCACTCGAATATGCTACCGATTTATGATTAAAGACCAATTTACATGTCTCGCCCATTCCACGGGGATGGGCTTTATCTTTTTTTTTTTTTAAATTAAATTATGCTCCGTATAAAAGAGTGATAATTAAAAGGCATCATCAACCATATGGCTCAACACTTCTCCAAACTCCGATCCCACCCACCTTTTGGATTCACCACCCCACTGCACTCTTTTTTTAAATTTTTATTTTCTTAAATATGTTTTTCTCCTTTTTTGTACTTTTGAGCAGATCTTAATGCAGATGCTGTGTGTCTTGCACCCGAGATGTTAATGGAATGCGACGGGACCGATGCGGTGTCGTCTCCAGAAGAGGCGGCGGCGGCATGCCCGGAGCTGAGCTGCGTGCACCACCACGAGCCACCTCCTACAAGTCCGCCGCTAGGTGCACTTTGCACTCCATGAGGCCATTCCGGCGACTGCAATCGTTTTGTCTTATCGAGGTTACGATGTTTCACTAAAATCATTTTTATTTTAAAGTAAAAAAAAAAGAAACTATAAATTGATAATAAGAAATGGGAAAAGTATATCCTTTATTATTTTCCTACAATGTTATGGGTTTTAGGGTTGAAAGCTTCATTGAGAATCAAGATTCATGCAAAGCAAGTAGAAAAGAAGAAGAAAGTAGTGATGGTGGACACCACCATCATTCAAATAATTCTTCCCTACCCCAAGACTTGATCATATTCCCATTTTTCCCATCCAAGAAAATTGAAGAAAACCCCACCATTGAAGAAGAAGAAAAGACGATAATAGCCCCGTCGTTGAACTTATTATCAAGAGTGAGGATTGAGACGGCCGCGCTGATGAGGGAGGCAACCGAGGCGAAGGCGGAGGCGGACGAGAGGCGTAAACAAGCGAAGCATTTGATCGAAATGGCGAATTTCGACGTCGCGAGAGCATCAAGGATCAGAGAAGAAGCGCTATTCTTCATCAACCGGTCAAGAAGGGTTCATCACTTGCAATTTCTGCATGCAAGCACAACAATTAATGAGAGTGGACCCGGTTTCCGGTCCAATCCAATCGTACGAACCGGAACATGCGATTTCAAAACGTTATCAATACCGTAACCCGTAAATTCGAACCAGAACTATAATCACAAATAAGGGGTGCGGTTATGGTTCTTTTGCCGGTTCCGGTCTCGATTTTATTTTAATTTGTTTTTTTGTTTAAAATCGCATATATGTAATTGTATTATTTGTTTAAGACAAAATTAATATGAATCCCCCTCTAAAAATATTAATATGAATACTTTTTTCAATTCGACATGGTCCGGAAACCGTGGGTTCCGGAACCGGAAGCGGACCACATGGAGCCAGCCCTAACTGATTACTCGGTAATAATTACTGTTCCTTTATCCCTCGCAGTTACACAAGGTGAAAAACTGAAAATAATGGTTTCAATAGTGAAGAGTCAGTACTCTCAATAGCCTGACTCCGAAGGCCATAAATATTGAGCCTTTTAACACTACGTTTTGGTTTAAAAAATTTATTTTAAAAAAAAATTAAATGTAAAAGTGAAAAGTTCATTTGTAGGGCATTCAAAAAGAAAATTGCAAACTTCCATTTTGCAATTTGCAAAAAAAAAGTTTTTTGTTTAAACATGAGTTAAATTGAAAAATAAAAAAAACAAGTTGGTCAAAAACTATATATGTGTACTAAGGGGGTGTTTGTTTTTCTGCCAGAAGACCTTCTGGCGTCTTTTGTCTGCGCCGCACAGACGCGCGCAGACGATGGACTCTGCAAATTGTTTGTTTTTTGGAAGACATTTCACTCAAAAAGGTCTTCCTGGCATCTTCTTGGAGAAGACATTAACCAATGTCTTCTAACATCTTCTAACATCTTCTCCTTTTTTTTTCTACTTCTCTTCACCACCACAACCGTCCACCGCCACCGCCCACCAATACCACCGTCCACCATCACCGTCACCGTCCATCACCATCGTCGTCCACCACCACCGCCACCATCTA